GCTTTCTACCGAAAAAATATTTAATGCACCGTGCGCTCGTGTCAAATGCCGAAGGTGAGCAAAAAATGGAATCATAAAATGGGTGTGCACCTTCAAAAATCCTACAAACGCAACTAACAAAACAAAAACGTACCTCCAAACATCATGAAACACAACAAACTTGCTTTTTCAAACATCATCAAACCACAAACATGCATTTTCAAACATAATACAAATGCAAAAACATGCCCCACCAAACATCATACGAACACAACAAACATGCACCTTCAAACATCGTACAAACACAACAAACCTGCACCTACAAACATTATACAAACACGAAGAAGACCATGCATCTTTCAATAACATACAGTTTTTTTGCGAGTGGCATCTATAAAGAAACAAGAAAAACATTTGACGAGTTGGACAAAATCTGTTCCGACTGCAGTATACAAACCCATTTAATTTTTTTATTTTTAACGTTTGACAACAGCACAACAGCACAGCACAATATAAAAATACTCTTATTCAATATTAATAATAGTTTTCATGAATGCCAGTTTAAAATTAGAGCAATGTTATATGCGAAAGTTGAAAAAAGAAACATGTTGAGTTTGAGGTGCAGTTTTGAACCTGGTAATTATAATTGACCCCACTCGGTGTTCTGGCGGTGCATTGATGTTGGAGGGAGGTGGGAAGGGGTGTCACTTTGTGTATTGGTTTATGAGTGTGCGTGCAAGTATGCAAGTTTTGTATGTATGTTCAAGTGTAGGTTGTTTGTTTCTAAGCTGTCTCTTATTACATTATTATATTAATTGATATTTACAACTGTTGATGACAGTTTCTTGCGTCTAAAACTTATGTGAATGTGTACATGCTGGTATCGTATTGTATTGCAGAATTTGTACAGCGCCTCTTGTGAGTTGACTTCAGAAGCGCTCTCTACTTTCTTTGCTGTTGAATGTTGAAAAAAAATGAGTCTTTAGCCGTTTTTTGAATTCACTTCGACTCATGATGTTGAAATTCTTTAGATCAGCAGGCAACGCATTCCAAATCTGGACAGATGCGACTGAGAATCTTCTTTTTCCAAAATGAGAAGATATGAACTTAGGAATGTGTAGGTCACCGCGGCTTGATGATTGTAGTCGACCCCTATATTGAATCTCTGATACTGAATGAATCTGTTCCCTCAGGTAGATTGGTGCGTCTCCAGTCAAACAATCTCTTACAAGTAGAGCTAGTTTAAATGTTACTCTCTCTGGCATGCTTAGCCAATGCAGTTCATCTCTAATGAATTGGTAGTTAGGATCAAACCTTGATACGCCAGCAACCAGTCTAGCAGCGGCGTTCAAAACTGATTGAACATCATCTTGTAGCGAAAGGTTGATCCCATACATCATCACGTTACAAAAATCAATCCTGTTACAAATAAAACTGCACACAAGAGCTTTTGTCGAGTCAACTGTCAAATATCGTCTGATGGCTCTTAGTTGGTATGTGATGCATGTTTATGAACGTACATGGATCTATGAGCTTACATCTTTTAGTTTTTCTTTTTCAATTATGTTAATAATTTTTGTTTGAAAAGTATTTTACTTCACTTGCCTACCATCTTCATGTTCTTCATATTATTGTTATCGATTTTTATAAATGTTTCCTGAAAACATCAAATTTGTCTTTTGTTTCATCTTATCGGCACCACACAACTTAACAAAGCAGCGACTGATTGTGCCTGCATGCCGGCGAACACGAAGAGGTGAACGCAGCCGCTGCAATTGCTTCTTCAGCTTTCAAACTTGTGAACATTTAGTACACGTCAGCAGAAGTTATCAACGTTTCAGCGCTCAATTGGTTTGTACCGCAACACTACATATCTCATTTCAAACAAACTCCTAGCGAGAAATAAATTATTTTTTCTCAAAATAATTACCCAAGTAAACAACTGTGAAGTATTTACCGCCGAACAGGAAACAGAAAGAATTGAATAATTTGCCAAGACAGGTTCGTAAGGAAGAAGAATTTATAGCAGCAGTAAGAACGCGACGACTTGAACGATGTATAACAATGAGAGATAATATAAAAACGTAATGATGACAGCAAATAATAGAAGAAACGAAGCGACGTAAAAAATAGTTAACGGTGGGAATAAGAAGGCTTGCAGCTCGCAGCAGTAAGTTTACGAGGACGTCAGACGGCTGCTCGTCTCCTACTTTATTGCCCTTTCGCTAATATTTCGCATGCTTTACAACTATGCTTTGCATTTGTCATTATCTAAGTTTTCATGGCACGATATATAGGCTGGCAGGTATTTGTTTATTGTACGTGTTTGCATATGCTCGCTTTTTATGTTATGTTATATGTAGGCGTTTGTTCGAATCGGTGCCGATGAATTGTGTGTGTGTGTGTGTGTGTGTGGTGTGTTTGTGGTGTGTATGTGGTGTGTGTGTGTGTGTGGTGTTTGTGTGTGTGTGTGTGTGTGGCTAAATAGTTCAATGTTTTGACACCGTTTTGATGGCCTAATAAATGAACTGATTAACGAAGGAACAAAATATTGAACAAATAAATTCATGCTAATTCAAACAATAAGAAGTAACAAATAATGAAAAAATGCAAAATAATATTTAAGAATAACTTTGGGAACCCAAAATAATATTTTAGAACACACAACCTACACACAACTCAAAACCCGACGCATTCAACAACACACAGGCAACTCCAACCATAACAGAATCAACACAGGCGAACACTGACTTGAATAAATTTTTAGTTTTCTTGCTCTTTTCATCACACACGGACTTGAAAACGTACATAAACACATACATACACACACACACCACACACACACACACACACACACAACACACACACCACACTAGTATATATATATATATATAGTACATTTTTCTTTTACTTATTTATTGGTCAAAATAACATTTTGTAATAATTGTAAATATTTGCTCGCTCATAAATTGAATCATCTGAATGCAATCATAAAGAGCAGCGATAGGCTGGTGGCGTTGGGAGACAAAAATTTTTGTTGCTATCATTGAAAGTTTGATTTACACTCGATCGATGCAACAACCTGCTGCTGCCCAGTCAGAAACTTCAGTGGTATTTTCGGAGGATTTTAAAGTTGACATAGGATGGAATGATGCTGCCTGGTTGTTGAATGATAACATAAGGTAACGTTTCATCAATGCCATCTATATATATTAGCTTGAATGCCGGTAGGCTGATAAGTTGTTTACGTACTGGGAAAATCACGTAAGGAGCTATTGATGAAAAAATCTATAAACGCCTGGTTTAAATGCACGCAATTAAATGCAAGATAAATTCAAAATCAGACATCCTTGTTTTTTGCATGATTTGAAACGGTTTCGGCGTTGAAACTGCCTCAATAGCTGCTTGTGCGATGATGTTGCTGACTGAAATTCAACTGAAATACACAATCCTCTGGATGACTGCTACCCACAAGTTCATGATTCGATCGTGTACCACTTTTCCGTGAATGATTTTTTCATAGTCATCGATTTAATTAAAAATATATTTCACCTAATGAAATACAATTGTGAGCATTATATTATTAAACCGTTATTAGTTTAATTTAAGTAAAAGTTTATGTCAATAATATAAATGTAACCCTCCTTTTGTATGAATAAGCAAGCCTATTTCGAGCACGAAATTAATATAAATAATGGTTTTGTTGTAATTTTTTAAGGGAACATTAACAAGATGAATCATCTCATTGATCGCCATTCGAGCAGATTTCATCATGGTTGCATTCATCCACTCTCAGTTTCACTCTCCCTAACTTCCAACCAACTATCAAAAAACAACTCAAGCACTTCTTTTGTTCGATGTTGATTGTGCAAAAAAAATTATTTTTAATTTAAAATTCTTGTGGACCTTAAAAAAAACAATATGTCAAAAAATATAAGCAAAGTTAATTGTTTAGCTTAATTGCATTTAAACACCTTTCTCACAAATTGAATGGTCGAGTTAAAGTTGTTAGAAACCTCTGCCAGACTTTTGATATGACCTATTTGAGTTGATGATTTGAAGACCACACAACCGACGTTAATTGACAGCACTGACGCGTGCAAGATGTTTTGTCAATTTGCTCTTTTCAATAAAAATAAAATCTTCCAGCTATACTTCTGTGTAAAGTTAATTCAGATAGAAAACTTGGAAGAACCATCATTGCATTATTTGAAACGTCTTGGAAACATCGCCCGCGCCGATTTCCTATTTATTTAGTGCCGGGTCTTTTCGAAGCTGGTTGGTTGCCACTTTCGCAAATGGCGTATTTTAACTTTCTTGTTATCCATCTGTGTTATATCATCTACCGTTGGGTGCGTGTAAATTTGCTTAAGAGAGTGAGAGAAGAAAGAGAGAGAGAAAGATAGATAGAGAGAGATAGAGAGAGTAAGAAAAAGTGTAAGTTTTTGTTAGCTTTAATAGTAGGCTTTTTCTATTTAATGTGTATCGTTATTTGAAATTTTTGTTCATTAGGTGCACTTTTAATAAATTGGCAGAAGATGCATAACGCGGGTGAACATAATATTCCAACTGATGTTAACAATTTAAGTTATTTTTCAAAATATAAATTTATGAATAATTCGAAAAATATGAAACTCAGTATGAAGTCACAAATTTGGAAATAAAAAAATTTTCATAATAAATTATTCAATATTATTTTATTGTTTTTCGCTTTGTTTTAATTTAAACTGATTTTTCGTTCAAATTCGTATTTGAAATAATGAACCATGGCAACTGCAAATACGAATTCCTACCTGCATACGTCCAAAAAACACATACCACCACACCCACACCACACCCACCCACACCCACACGCACACGCAAACACTCACACACACATAGACAAATCTACACTTTCACATACACCTACACACATAATTATGATAGATAATTTTTTTCTGAAAACACATTTTTTAATAAAAGTATGTGAAAATCTGACACGTACAAACGCAACGTTTCTTAATCTTGAATGTCTTGGCAACATGCACATGCAAATGTCCTCGGTTTGTTGCTGAGAAAATTTGTTATAATGAAATTATTTTTCTGTGTTTGCATGTAAGGAAAGCAAATTTTTCTCTTATTTCTCAGATGTATGCTGTCTGACACCTAGTTGATTTATGTCCAAAAAGAACTAGATGCCCTAAAAAATACACGGAAATGACCTACAAAAATGAAATGAAATTTGTACAGACGATGTTGTGGTTGTTTTGTGTGCTGGTTGCGGATGCGCGTGTTGGTTGCGGATGTGTGTGTTGGTTGCGTTTCGTGGTGTGTTGCGCGGCGTGATGTATGCGACCATCTCGTTCTGTCATGTTGTGTTGAGCAGTGCTCCTCAAGATGGCAATCTGTTATGTGATATTGTATGACGCTCTATGCCTTGTCTCTATATGTAGGTTTATGTAGTGCTGTAATTCAACACCGCATAATGTTGAATGCTTGTTATCCACGTGTGTTGTTCTCTGCTTTGTTCTCTTTCGTACCGCTGTGTGATGTATTGTTGGAATGAGTGTAAACATTATGTGCATGCTTGTATGCATGTTTGTGTGTGCGCGTATAATTTGTTTTGTTATGGCGTGTTGTTTGTTGTTTATCGTTTTGTCGTTGTTTATTGCACTGCAGAGTAATTTATATGATGATCTGTGCTACAGGCAATCATCCAGTTTATACGTTACCTTACTTCATTACCTATATATATATATATATATATATATATATATATATATATATATATATATAATAGTCTATTATTTTCTGTCTTATGATGGAGTTGTTTCTTTTTCAAAAATACAAATGTTTGTTTTTTTTAATTGGGCATTAATCGTGAGATATGTATATGAGATTTACACGCTCGTTTTGAAAAAGTTGATGAAAATATTTATCCTTATCACCGTGCTCTGATATTTCTTCAAGTGTTGAAACGCCAGCAGAGTTGGTTGGGTTTAAATGGATTTTCATCGAAACCATGATACAGGTTTCAAATTATTTCTGTTGCATCAGTTGAATTGAAACTTTAAGAAACTTTTATATAAACGATCACTTCATTCGTAGAAATTGTTGATACATTTTTTGTTAAACTTCCAAAAAGTTGTAATCAGTATTATTAAGCGTACATTTTGTCACCAGCTTATTTAAGCAACAATAAATTTGAAAAAGGAAAGTGAAATAGAAAAAGAGAGAACTAGAAAGAGAGAGAGAGACAAAACAAAGGAGAGAGTGGAAAAAGAGAGAGAAAGAGAGAGAAAGTTAGCAGAGCTGTTGAATGGGTGTGAACGTTCCGAACATTTCATGGTTCATTTTGGATGGTTCCTTCGGGATTTCTTTTTTGAAAACTTTTGTTAAATTTATGAACGTGCGTACGCGTGGTTAAATTTTAAAGTTTGGCCTTATTTAAATGTTTGTACTTTTTATTCAATTCATGAACTGTTTCTGCTTGATTCTGTTGAATAAATTAAATGCTGTCCTTTTATTGTTTCCATTTCAAACCAACTAAAAAAAATGCAACTGCGCTAAATTAACCTGCTTAGTTTATCTTTTTTATAGTACTTTTACTGAAAACTTTATTCAAATAATTTGTTTCAATCTAAAAATTTTGAAATAGAAATTTGCATTAAAAAAAACAATATTTCTCAAATGTTTATTGCAGTTTAAAAACCAAATAATTTCAGTGCAGAGTTTTGGTCCAGTTGAGAAAATAAAAATCCATCAAAATAGCAGCGTCGACGTTCAAAGGAACCTTCACAAGTACATCAACTATCAAACTCTCAGCAGCAGCAGCAACAGCAGCAACTACAACATCAACATGAAGCACAGCAACGCCACAAGTAGCAACCAACACAGCACCATTGCCGACCAACAACTTTATATTAACGTCAGTAACACAACGGTTCGCATGTCGACGAAAAATCGCGTGTACGTAATGAACGCTGGCGACGCAATCCATCTCGAATGCAGTTTCAGTGCCGACAAGGACTTCAATCTTTTCCATCATTACATGGTCTGGAAGAAAGAGCAACTGAGCGAATCCACACAAGTCAGTTGATCATCATTCTTCTCTTCATATCGCACTTCAAACCAAACCTAACCAAATTAGATTTTGTAGGAAAATGGTTAATATTGACCAAATAAAATATAAATATATTTAAAAATATTTTTTTCATTGTAAAAGTTAAAGACCATGCAAGTTATCATAAGGCAACATAAAAACTGATTCTGGAAATAGATAAACATGTTGGTGCACGTACTGGAGCCATTCCTATCCACGCGACGATTCAACGTGTCCTTCGCCCAAAAACACAACAAGACATTCCTCTTCAAGTTACTGATAGCAAGTTCGTCTCTCTTATTGCATGATATTATTTGCAATTATGAATTTACATGAAAGTAAGAAAGTTCGTTCAATCTCAATAAAACGTTACATCTACGTTATGCCATACAATCTTTCCTGACCTACACTTCATTGGCATTTAACAATAAATGGGACAGAGCGGACATATTTTCAGTTATTTGTTGATGATTACGTGAAATGTGTGTTGATAACAATGAAAAGCATAGAATAACTGGAAATAGCATGAAATAACAATTGTAAAAAAAAGCTAACACGTTCAAATGAATACGAAGAGAGTTGCGGTTAGGCACTGCAATCTATATTTCAATTATTTGAGGTTTGAAGTGCAAAGCGGTTTAATTCAACAGGAGCAAACCAAACGCATTTAATGACATCATTTCATAACAAAACAACTCGAAATAAATTATAGGACTACATAATGGGGCAGCGGAGAATATATCACATCCCATTGTACGAGGAATATAAAATACAACATCAGACTATGACACGCAATAAAGAAGGAGTAATAAAGAATATGCAATTGTTGAGCGCTTCGACGCTTCCCATTGAAGCAACCAACATTTATAAAAGATTGAACTGACGCTGGTAATTAGATTTTCTTGAAAATTTGTATTTGCAAATAAGAAAAGCTAAAAAAACATTTCAAAATGTGCTTTAAACGAAGAAAGGTTTCAATGTCTGTAAAACGTGTAATTTGTTTCAGTAAAATTTTTTTGAAAAAACATACAAATACAAAGTTAAACTAAAATTGAGAACATTTGTTGGCTTTTAAAAAACCGTCAAACTTATCGCTCATAATCTGCTTTTCATAACTGAGCAAGAATGCCGAGTAAATTAGTTTTACTGCTGCTATTAAGGAGCTTCGTTCTGATAGAACATTGCCAAAAAATAGGAAATTGAAAAGAACCCTTTTGTTTAGGGTGATTGTAGTAACGTGTTGATGCCGCCCAGACCATGCCTGCTTTGGGCACGCACACAAAAACACAGACAGATGCTCGATTACACGCTTGCAGATGCTTGCATACACAGACAAACACACACGCACATACTCTTCGGCAAACATACATGCACACACACACATACGCACACACACACACACACGTACATACACGCAAACACAGGAGCAGTAATTGAAGACAGCGGCAACTACACTTGTGAGGTCAAGGGTCCCCAGAACACTCTACTCAGTTCGGCCACGCATTTCCTTTTTGTCAGAGGTTAGTTAATTTTAAGAATTCATTGTTAAAAATGGAGGGCGTTGAAAAAATAAAATTCATTCATCAATTGTGAATTTTTTAATGACATGTTTGTTGAATGTGCTTCAAAAACAACGTTCTTCATCGTTGAAATATTTCTGGACGCTCCTAGAACTTTAATGAAAATATAACGTCGCCATTTGTAGGTTTAACATAGATAAAACATGGATGTAATAAAGATGACGCATGGATAGAATAGAACTTAAAACATAGATAGATGGATGGAACATAGATTGAGCACGGATGTATGCGAGCTTGAGAGACACGTCGGCAAACATGATACACTCTAGAGAGAGGCAGGGAGGAGTCAACATGTCATACACTTATTGTTATTTATACATCCTCTATTGCCTTTTAAACTGTTATAAATATTGTTATTATTGTTTGCTCGTCCATCCATCCTCATAACAACACGATTTTGACCATCCTCTATGAAATTTGCATTAAATGAATAAATAAATATATAAGAAAATATCGTAAGTCTTCAAGTGATGTTAGTAAAAGTGGTGCCAGCAAATATGGTCTAGCCATCTTTTTCAATTGAGACACCGCTTTCGTTTTGTAGAGCACTGGCCTACACTGGGTGACGTTTTTTATTTTGCACAAGAAAAAACCTAAAACTTGACTTAATGGAATTTCATACTGTAGAAAAACAACATTAAAGAACAATTGACAAACACTTTCAATTCAAATTATTTTATTTAGAACATTTTTATTTTTAAATAATACTTCGAACAAAACATGAAACTTTGCAAAATCAAACACTTGCCAACTTCAAATGAACTTGCTCTGTATTGTAAGTAATCTAGGAGATGAGCACTGTTGAAAGTAATTGAAATAGGCGTCCTGTAAACTTGTGACGTTGATAGATTGACGATGAGGAGAATCGTGCTTTAAAGAGAGCTGCCCCGACAAATGCTTTTTTGGCATTAGTTGATGTTAAAGTGCTACAAACAAATTCAGAGAAGCGGGCTGGACAAATGATTAATGAGGAAAGAAAGTTATTCAATTGCAACTCATGTAGAGATAAGTTTTAATTAAATTAGCAACGGCAAAAAACATGTTTCATTGTTTCTTTTTGTTGTTTTGTTGGAATTGGCGATATTAAGTGAAGCAATAAAAAACCTCTTAGACATTCTCAAAGCATGTTCAAGTATCAATATGCTAGCATCTGCAAATGTTTTATTATCTGTCGATCCATCAATCAGTTCTTCTAGTTTATATCACGCTGGTTCCTCATTGTTTAATGGCGCTTTTCAACGATTAAAAATCACACTGTGTGTCATTCGAACGAAAATCGTGAATATGTATGTGTTGTTTTTATATATGTTATATACTTATTAAATATACTTATATATAAATGAAGTAAAGCAAAAGTATTTTATGAGCAACCGTGCTTATAAGCACGTATGCATCTGTATAATGTATTGCATAAACAGTACATACATGCTGACATAGAGAAGTTGCAACAGAGCTCCTGCCCAACATGCGACTGTTGATCAGAAATGAAGAGAATAAAAATATTCATCTCAAGCGTTGCCGCCAATGACAAAATTCATTTTAAAAAAATTTTGTGAAATTATTTTTTGAGAAATCCTTAACGTTTGTGTTTCACTATGATATTGAAAATTTGACGCTATTATGTCAGTTTTGTTGAATTTAAATTTTCTTTTGAAAAATAGATGAATGTCTTTAAATTTGTATGGACAGCCATTAATATTTTGAAATATAAAGTTGATGAGGGAATATTTCCTGCGAGGAATCTTTTCAGTCCCAGCCGGCAATCAACTTGATTGCATCCACTGAAAAAATACCGACCTCGTCCTACTCACTCGACTTTATTATTGAAATCTTGATCCAGTCATTTTGGAGAGAATGCTGACATATTTGTTTCATTGCTGGGAAATTTATTTTTTGTCAATTTTTAATAATGTTAAAAAAGTCTTTTATGATAACCAACAACAATGCAATAAACAATTATACATTTTAAACGGCTTACATGTTTTTAAAATTAATGTTTGAAAATTAAAAAAATGTTTTTTGATATAATTAATGGGATAATAATAATAATAATAAAATGATTTAAGTTGTTTAAACAGAAATCAAACTAATTAAAATAGTTAAAAAACGCTTGCAGGAGTTACGATTGGATGGTATTTGTTAAATTTCTTCCGTTTTGAAGGTTTCATTTGATTCTTCATAATTTTTGTCAGTTGCAATTACTTGGAACGCTCTTTAATCATTAAAATTTTGTGGATGTAAGTTGATTCTGTTGAAACAAAATTCCGAAGCAATGTAGCCTACAGTAATAAATAACTAAAATTTTGACACTGTTAGTTCACACCATGCGGTTAGAGTCTGCAAATTGCTTTTCAATTTATTTGTTTTATCATTCTTTCCAAAACTTTTCTTTTAAATGTTTTACTTCAGAAATTGTTTGGTTCGGGATCATTTTTTTTAAATTTTTCATCGTAAATGTCTTTCATTCAATCGTATCCATCTTAAGAAGTGATCGATCAAGCAGGAGGAGTGGCTTGCAGTTTGTCGCGATTGATTCGTAATGGATTTGTAGCAACAACATGTCAAACCCAATTACGTACATGCTACCTACTGGTCCTGCGTGCACTGCCTGCCATCCTTCAGACATGTACACTCCTGAATATCTCTGAAGACCAACCACACACAACACTTCCAAACAAATCAACACTGGATAATACTTTAAAAATCAAAAATCAGTAAACATTGATGTACGAAATACATCAAAACAAAACCAACCCACCCACAAATATTCACATTTTACAGTTGAAATAATCGGAACCAAAAATATAGCCGTGTACGATTGATTGAACTTGTGTGCACGTAAATAGTCATAATCCATCATACATTACAGACACATGCGTGAATATTTGTTGAAACACATTTGCTAAAATCCTATGCTAAAAAAATTCATGATAGACACATTTTGCTAAACATACAAAGTTCACTCATAATGCTGTTTTCAAACACACACACACCTACACACACATACACATGAAACAAACATGTATACAAGTATGTACACATAAAAAACACATACATGCTCATTAAGATGATACGCGAACCGCGATATACCTTTTAAGAATCTGTCGCCGTCACAATCGCAGTAATGCAACGATATGTAGAGTAGATACATGCAAGACATCGAAGCACATTAAAAGGTTCTCTCTTCAGATCTGAAGATTCACTCAAAAACCTTCAATCCAGTTCTTACACAAACACTTCAACATCAAAAAATTCAAATGTGCGACGATGTGTGTCTGTCTTGCTCTCTGTCCTCTGCTCTGTTTGCAATGTCGTGTTTCATCATGTGGAGTGTATGTGTCGGGTGTTTCTTTGTCGTGTTTTAACTGTCGCGTTTTTTAGTGTATTGTATTTGTTTCTATTCTGGTGTTTCTTTGTTTTGTGCATGTTTGTGAGGTTTACGTTGTTTTATCGGTTGCTAATGCTAATTAACTTGTGTGTATATAATTGTTTGTTTCTAATGAGTCAACGAAATTGCTCGGCTGACACATTGCTCACTGACGATGAATTGTTTGAATATTTGCGAATGGCATGCCTGTTTGTGATGTGGAGCATATATTTGGAGTGAGGAACATATACATATTTGCCGGATGACCGTGAGACTTCCGTTTGAAATGAACTTCGCGTTCCATATTAATTGTTAGTGCAATGCGTCATAAACAAAAATGTTAATTTTTTTCACTTGTTTTTATTCATTTTCGCAATTTTTCTAAAAGATGTTATTAAGATTTTTGAGGAGTTTCATCTATAATGCGATATTAATGTGGTCTTGAAGAATTTCTCAAATCACCTCAAACCGTCAGATAAGAAGATGTTTTGAAGGCCATAAATAGCTTTGAAATATTAATAGCTGAGGTAAACAAACTAACAATCTTAACAACAAATAGAAAAAACAATTTGACAACAACAACAACAACAATAATAATTGACAAAAAAAATAGAAAAAAGATTGGTGAAAACAAGAAAACATTGAAAAATAAAAAAAAGCAAACTAGCAATGACAAGCGACATGGAGAAGATGATGGCTATGCAAATATTACATCTATTCTCTCCGTCTCTTTAAACGTTCCATCACACCAGAAATAAAAATCTGCCAATAATATAGATTGCCACATTACGAGGAGTTGGCTGATGCTTTCAAAATAATAACGCGGCAACCCATACAACCTTTCAATTTATATCTAAATTAGTTTCGTTATTATCGTTTATTGTGACGTAAAACTGAATGCCAATCGAAGGTCTTGTTATTAATTTATTTACCATTTTAAATGAAATTAAATTATAAATTACTGAATTTGCAATATTTTTAGGTTATAAATAAAAAAAATAAACAAGAAATTTTAAAAAAAGAAATTGTTTAGAAAACCGGAATGCGAAATGAAAATGTTATTTAAAATGTCAAAAAATGTGATTTGGAATTTCACAATAGACGGAGCAAGACGGCGGCGGATGAATGAAAGACGTCATTTATCCATCTTTCTATCCCTCTCTCCCTCCCTTCATCCCTCTCTCCCTCCCTCTCTCCCTCCCTCCCTCCCTCCATTCATCCATCCATTCATCTATCCATCCACCTATCCATTCATCCATACATCTATCCAACTAGCCAAGTATCCGTCCTTTTACACCTTCATTTGTCAATCTGTCTATCTATCAATCCATGCATCCATCCATCAATTTGTTTAAATATTAGTTCATCCATTCATCTATCCATCCATCCATCCACCCAACCAACCATCCATCTATCCATCCAACCAATCAAACATCTATCATCTACTCTACCCCCCCCCCCCGATCTAACTATCCATCCCGCCAGAGCGAGGCAGCCAATCATAGCGAGAATTGTCAGGTGCCAAGCAGTGTTTCAATTGAAAAATTCTATTCATGCGGTCATCATTTTCATGTCATACAAGGCTACGGCATCATGCTCCGCCGTTAAATAAATAAAAATCTTACTGAAAACGTTTCGAAGGAAAAAAGTGCATCATCATTGGCATCTCGTTTAGTGGGTATTTTATTGGAAGGTATTTTTGTATTGGGAAGTATTTTGTGTGGGAGGTATTTTTGTGTGGGAGGTACTCTTTTGTGGGAGGTACCTTTGTGTGTGTGAAAATATTTTTGTATGCGTCAAGTTACTAATCTGATGAGATAACATTGAGATTATATCCAACGTCGAAGATAGTACAGATAAATAAAAATCCCTACTTAATTTTAAGCAAATCATCATTTAGGATGTTTGAAACGTTTTTCATTTGAAATTGTTTTTGTTACTGATTTACTCATAAAATTTTTTTGTAAACTCAGATGAAAGTTTTTTTTAATTTATACACCGTACAATTTTTGTGGTCTGCATTTCTGCACTTCAATGTTCATCATTCCGTTTCTTTTTTCTAAATATTTTCATAGTAATGTTTTTTAGTTTGAGGAAATCACAATTTCAACTTGATTATTATATAATCTATCGACTTAAAAAATATTTATGAGTATTGCTTCATATTTAATTTTAAAGTCAATGATTTCTAATTGAATTAACCAAATGGGAATAAATTTTTAATTTCAAACCGAACACTCGCTTCCAAATGCTAGACTTCATCGTCAGAAATTTTTCACCGACCCATGCTAGAGGACCTGCAATGAATTATTTCAATTTCTCTCTCGTCAGATCACATCAATTTTAAAGTTACAATATCATTAAAAAGTTTTTGTAATAACGAAATAAATGTTCATTCACCAACCATTTCTAAACATGCTGGTGCAATAAACTTCACTCCATGTGATTAATGCATCAATTAGCAACTGAAAGTCACATTCAATGTTACTGACAGGTTAAAATTCAAAATTTAAAACTAAACTTTTCCTTCATGATGCCTGATGATAAAAATTTTCTGCTCCTATGCAAAAATCTTTGGGTTGATATTTTCCATGATTAATTGGGAGCGTTCGATAATTAGCTAACAGGGGAAGAATGATGAATATGAAGAGATTAAAAAGACTGATTCGCTATTTCGCGTCAATTATTGAGCCAATGATTTTCCACTGATAACGTGGCAAATGAAGCAGAGAACGTGGAAAGAAACAACGTGACCGATAACCAACCATGCAACGTTACATCGCTGGTTGTATGTTGCGTAGATAGCATTCCATTTGAATTCAAGAATTAAGCGTTTGAATTTTGATACAGCATGCTGGTTGTAATGAATTGTCATCTCATTGTAAAATTAAAAGAATGAATATTAATTTAGCTGGCAACGTCTTATGTGATAAGATGACTAATTTTCCTGTTTGCATTTTCAAAATTTAGATCAAAAAAGATTTTTTCATAAATTAAATGGCTGATTTACAAGACTTGAATAATTGTTCTGTAGATTTAAAGCATAATGTCAGCTTAAAAAGTAGAAAAACATAATATTAAGGTTTGGGTCAAATGATGACTTCCAGGAAGAAATGAAGAATTGAATGAAAAGAACATTTGTGATCATTTGCAACGTAACGTTATAACCTTCAAAGAGCCATTATTCAGGCAATATGCATTGAACGGTGCACTGATGCCAGATTTTAAATTTATACACTGGCAATAGAAAGAAAGAAAATTGAAACGTTTATAACGTTGCATTTTCTACGTTATTGCGATACGCATGCCAATAAAATGTCAGTAAAACGCACTAATTGGTTCATAAAATAGTTCTTTCTGGATCGTCAAAAGTTTCTTTGAAACTCGTTGTTGCCTTGTTTGTCATGCATTTTTTCTATCTGCGAATGAATCAACATTTCTACCTACCTACCTACCTACCTACCTACCTACCTACTGTTGCATGTCTGAACTGTCGTTAGCGTTCACCTTAAGTATTTCTCCCATGTTATTGTATCTTTCATGTTGTATCTTCAGTGTTGTATCTTCAGAGTTGTATCTTCTATGTTGTATCTACCGTGTTGTATCTACCGTGTTGTATCTTTCATGTTGTATCTTCAGGTTGTATCTTCAGTGTTGTATCTTCCATGTTGTATCTTTCATGTTTTATCTTCAGTGTTCAGTTAGGTGCAGCACGCATTGTCTTAACGTTAATTATCATTTTGTTGTTACACAAATTTTCAGAACTGCACTCACGTTCGCCTGCATAACATTCACCCGCCGGCATGTTCGCCTGCTTTTAAACTCGCTTACTTGATTCAACTGTGTGACAGTGGAAGATTGTAACTTCAAGAAGTTCAATCGCATCATGTAGCCAATGTTTCATTTCAAGTTGGTTTTATCATTTACTAGCAAGCGAAGCTAGAAGCAAATCTCAACGCACCTCATTACTATTTGTTCATTTTTTTATTATTAATATGTTTATTTTTATTATTAATATATTTATTTTTTAATATAAAATTTTTAAAAAGTTTTCTGTGTGTAGAATAATTGCAGTTGCTATGGTTTGGAAACATTTCAGCTAACATATACTTATTGACAAAAAAATTTTGAAACATTAAAATTTGCCATTGAAAAAACATTCTGTATATCTTAAAAAAGATTAATATGATTGCATTTGTTTTGAAAAAAAATTATGGGATGAGGAATGATTGATTCGATGTGGCAGGTGACCTCGACAAACATGCATGTATTTCTATATGTATCTGTGTATGTAAGTACGTAATCACGCAATCGTCTACGTATAACGCATGTACGTGTGTATTGTATGCACAATATGTATGTATGCATGTGTGTATGTGTACGTATATGTATGTATAGCTTGCTATAACCTCGACGCAAATAAAATTATGCATGCGTACACATGCCATCTAAGATTTAATTAAGTTAATTGAGTTCAACACTCTCCCTACTATTTTTTTCATGTTTATTTATTTAATAAATAAAAAATATAATTAATTCAAAAAGAAAAATGCAAAACTATAAAAAACTGTGTTTGCCATGCAAAGTTCCTAACTTCTAACTAATCGGACCGCGCCTCCATCTACGTGTTTGTCACAGTCACTCACTCTCTTCTGCCATTTGCTGTTGAGGTGACGCTTGTTTGAATTCATAAACAATTCGTCGGTGGAAATTAATCTCTCCTAGACGCGGCTAGATTAAATTCAACCGCAGATTAAAGATGATGATTCGTATTATTCGACACGTCCTAAAAATAAAAATAATTTAATTATTTTTTAAATGAAATAATGTTGCGTCTGAAAACTTTGTTCGAAAAATGAAAAAATTGAATGGACGCGGAGTACGGAGTATTATGACTGTATTGCTATGGTACACAATTTATTATCGATGCTTTCACTTGTTACCTGAGACTTTCATTTTATTTCAAAATTAATTATATTAATACTCTATAATAAGCAACTTTCAAAAGTTACGTAAAGATTTTATTCTATTTCAAAACTAATTGTTTTGATAGTTTGTGTAGAAGAAGATTTTTACAAATAACGCATTTTAAAAAAGCAACACTTTTAAACACTACGCAAAAAATGACAAAAATTAATTATACATAATCAAATTTTAGTATTTCCGAAAAAATATTTTTAAACAACCCAATTTACGATCTTTCATTTTTATATACTTTTTATTTCATTCTCTCTATCAATTATTCCTTTATTGTTATTTTATTTTTCAACCTCATTCACCCAATCATTCATCGGTAGCTTATCAATAATTCATTTATTTTATATCTCTCCTTCATTCATTCATTTATAATTCATTATTTACTTATCATTTACTCATTATTCAATCATCATTCATTTGTTTGTTCGTTCATTCATTCGTTCGTTCATTCGTTCGTTCACTCATTCATTTATTTATTAATCAGTCATTCATCATTTAGTCATCATTCACTCATCATTCACTCATCATTCATGATCATTCATTCATCATTCACTTATCATTCACTCATCATTTACTCATCATTTACTCATCATTCACTCATCATTCACTCATCATTCACTCATCATTCACTCATCATTCCTCATTAATATATAATCTCCAGAAGTATCCAAAAAATTTCTTCCTTCGTTAATCAATCAACCTCTCTTATTAATTTTTTCATCAGCCTAAAAAACCTTTGCTAATTTTTTTTCTTCTGTTTTCTGTTGTTTCTAACGTTTCAATGTATTGAAAAAATCTCAGGTAGATATTTTTGCAGAAATTTAATAATTTGTTATGTTTTTAATGTAATTAAGGTGTTGTCATCGTATTAATGTACGTATACCTACTCATTTGTAACTGTTGTTGCGATTGTGTGTGAAACAATGATTATTAACATTCCCATTCTTGAATCGTGGATTTTTATTTTCAGGTTGATGAATGATGTTCACGTGGTATCTATTCTATATTAAACTTTTGCTCGTTTAGTATAGAGAATAAGATAAAAGCCGTCCGTAAAAATTTTCACTCTGGTGTTTAAAGGTGTTACAAAAAATCAGATAATTTTTTATAATTAAATTTTTTTTCTGGTCTGAAACAAAGCTATTTAAAAATATGATGCGCACATTATCTGCAAAATTATTTTGGAAGTTGTTTAAAGTTGTTTATAAATAGACAAGCAACACACGAACACTCACACACATACGCACACACACCACACAAACAACACACATACACTCGCGCACACACAAACAACACGCACACACAGGCACACGGCCATGCATGCATGAGATGAGGTCATGTGATCAGTTCAGTTACAACCCTGTTGTTCGTTGACTCAGTTAATCCTTTCCTTGTTATTGAATCACCCATGTTATACGTGGCGTCTACTCTATTTATTGTGCATTAAACTTTGGCCTATTTAACAAAGAGAATAACGACTATTAATGAACGATTAAAAACTTGAATGATACTTACATACCAATTAGACAAATTTGAACTAAATTGACTACCAACAACTGCTCCTAAATATAAACTCACGCACACACATACAAACAAATACACATACAATGCAAATATATAAATAAATAAATAAATAAATGAATATATATATATATATATATATATTATATATATATACATTCATATATATATATATATATATATATATATATATATATATATATATATATGAATGTATATATATAATGTGTATATACATAATGTATAAAATCTCGTATAACGTTGAATTTACTTGAATCTGTCCTGAAATAATGATCAAATAAAGTTGCAATTTTACTAGCGGATAATTATGGCTTGATAGATTTACATTGACTACTTAATGTTTACTTTAATGCCGGCGTACATTTACTTGCAGCAGCCGTTGACAACCTGAACATCAGCCTGGATGCCGTGTCGCCAGTGCTCTTCAGCGTCTTCAACCATCAGATGTTCATGTCCAATGATCTCGTTTATAACCATTATGCTAATCTAACAAATACGCACAACAACCCCATCGCCAACAATCAAAATGTTCTTTCCTCAAAAATTACGCCACGCATCTCGGCTTCATCAGCAGCAGCAGCAGCAAAATCTCCCACAACATTGTCGTCGTCGTCGTCTTCCTCGTCTACGCACATCAAGAACATTCAACCCATCACCCTCGTTGAGAACATTCCTTCAACGGTCGTCTGCACGGCTTCCGGTGGCTACCCCCTTCCCGACATCACCGTTCAAATTGCCAAGGAAGATAGGACGAATGAATTTCTATTTCACCACATTGTCGCTTTGATAGGTTCAAAGTCCATGAGGAAAGTTCAGATCACGAGTTATCGCTGGAAGGAAGGATTCGTCGTTGGTAGGCAGGATGCTGGCAAGCTCCTTACCTGTGTGGCTACTGTGCCTGGCCTCAAACCACTGGTCCTGTCGGTCGTCATCAGAGTGCATTGTTAGTATTTGCATTGTCTAATTTTAAGTAGGTAGGTAACATATTCAAAATATTAAACACAACACATAACAAAACATGGAGTGTTATAAACATACACACACAAACACACATAAAAACACACAAATACATACAGATCCCCCGATCTTGACTTGCGATACAACATTTGCCTCCCTCGGTGACCGCAACGTGCACTTGAGATGCATCGTGCATTCGAACCCGCCACCGTTCACGACACAATGGATCATCGACAACAACAACACCAAGGTATCAAGCGGTGACGTCATCAATCAACATTGGACACTCATGACTGTAAGTCTTGTTCGACTACAGTTGTTGTTGTTTTGTTGTTGGTGGTGCATTTGCATTTTTAATGTGTCGTTGTTCTACTGTTTTGTCCAAGTCTGGTTGATGTAATGTTTTTCGCTGATGTGTTTGCTTTTAATGCGTTGTTGGTGGGCTCCTTAAGTGTTGTTGATTTTTTGATGTACTCTTGGTGTGTTTGCGTGTTGTTGTTATTATTATGAAGAATGTAAATGTCCGTTTTCGTTTGAAGAAGAACAATTCAAAGAAGGCCTATCGGTTTTGTATGTCATTTATATTTGTTGGTTTTGTTAATTAACTCGAGTGATTGTTGGCCCTTGTGAGAAACTGTGCTTCTTACTGTGCTTCTTACTGTGGTTATCCGGGTGAAAACTTTCAAAATTATCATAATGATAATGAAAATTAAAAAAATAATGATGATTATGAAATTGATCATAAGGATGATGAAAATGATAGGAATTGAAATGTAGATGTGTTTCTGTAAATGGTGATAATAACAATTTGTTTCTGATATTGTTGGTGTCGTCAGATCTTTTGGGTTGTGTTGTTTGTGGCCAGTCCTTAGTTAGAATGCTCTCCACGTTTTTCTCCTTTTGATAATAATGGTAATAATAACAGTAAACATTTGTCTGCTGCATGTTTTTTGTGATAGTTATGGTGGTAGCTGTGGTGGTAGCTGTGGTGGTTGTGCTTCGTGATGTTCATTCCATCTTGTTGTTATTTTTGTTTTTGGCGTTTTTTCATTGCACAAGCTCTATTGTTTACATGACGATGTATAAATTATACCCGATTACTTTTCATATTTGCATTTGGACTAAGACTGTTTTTTGGAATGTTTCTATGCGTCTGCATGATCATATCTGTTTACTCTATGATGATGATAATGATGTTGTTGATGATGATGTTATTGTTTGTTTATCACATCACAAGATGATAATGTTGTTGTTGTTGAGAAGGAGGATGTTGTTGTTGTTGGTGATGATGGCGACGATGACGATGATACGTCTGTGATGTTGATTATGATGACGAAATTAAGTTGGTGTCGGTTGTAACGTAACGATGTTCATGTTGTGGTGCTGATGTGGATCTGGATGCTGATGGTGATTCTGTCGATGATGACGCTAGAAGAGGCCTCAACGACGATTGCTATGCTTGCATTAACAAAGTTTATTACGGCTTTGACGTGGATGATAAATTTGTATTTACGATGAAGTTGATTGCAAATATGCTTAAGTTACAGCGACCCATTTCCAAGACGCAAACACATCTGACAACGACAAACAGCTGCACCGACATTCAATGCAGTGGATCGTCACCATCACTACTCCAGCCTCTCAACAGATTTTTAAACTGCTGTTATCATGGGCATCCACCTGATTTTTGATAGACAAATCTCAGAAACTTTTAAAAAACCTGCCAAATACATTTGCACACCAACGCACACTTGCGATGCCCGCTAATCCTTAACATCCTTCTATTTTTGCTATCTTGTACTGACGCCTTCTTAATGCGTTTTCTTATTTTTCAACGTTTTATAAACTGTCGTGTAATATTATGTTTGCATTTTTAACCTACATTTTTTTCATGATTTTTTACATCTCAGACATTTCTTTGTTAAAAGAGAGCTTTGGCCTCAATTGTTCCTGTGTAATGCTACCAGCATCACGGACTTTTTAGAACATATTATTACAACTACTTCCCAAACTAAAATAATTATATATTCGCGATAAACAGCAAAGTGAATGAAAACTTTTGTATCAACAGATTGGTTTGTAAACAACCGCGCTTTTCCATCAAGACTCTTCCACTAAACCTACGTTCTTGCAACACACACATTCTGAAAGGCTGATATGTATCAGACGGGTCGGAAACACGAGACAAAGAACTGGATCATAGGACGTCAGTTGAAAAATACAAAGGCGTATATGAAGAAGATCCAAATGCGGAAACCAGAGTTTTTGTGAACATGTTTGTAGAATGCCGGATAATAAATTGGTGGAAACGGTACTAGTGCAGAAGAAAAGCAGGAAGGGATAAGAATCAAACCAGTCAGCCAAGGTATGGATGGATGACTTAACAAAATGAAATGGTGCGGAAACATAACATTTAATAAAAATAGCCAACAGAAAACGATTGTGGAGTCAAAAATTTAAAGGAACAGTCACAACAACTTTTCATTAAATTTAGAATTCATAAACTTTTAGGAAAAGTTTTAGTAGGAAAGTTATCCACAATATATTTAATTTTAAAATAAATTAAGAATTAATAATATCTGTCGTACGCTACCATCGCTACACAATTTCAATTATATCTCTTTCCAGGAAATTGAATTGTGTGTGTGTGTGTGTGTGTGTGCTATTTATTATTTTTTGTTTAATTATTTATTAAAATTATTCATTTAAATATTGAAAAAATTGCACCTTAAAAAATAAAAGCGACATCGAAAAACATTTTTGGAGGATTTGAAGTGGAAGTTGATTGAATTTCATTCCCATCGCAGCATTGCGCATCATATGAGTTTTTAACATGTAAACACGTGCGAACATTCAGAAACACACTAACATCAACCTGGTAACATCAATGTTAGATAACATTCAAGAAAGGATTGAAGGGAGGAATAAAAGAAGAAACGAAGAAACGAAAAAGATTATAATCCAGTTGACGAATTAGTTGAAGAGATTCTCTCAAATTATCCAAATGAATAATTGTTCGATGGATCGTTCGATCGTTTAGCTCGAGGCTTATTGCAAACCAGGGCGCTTCAGAATTCAATTAAAACTCTCAACATAGCTGCTCTCTGTATCGATCAGACTTGCAGATTACATTAAATAAAGTCTGCTTCCATCCCTGTTGTATCTGCTTATTTTATAATTACTTTTATCTTTTCGCATTTTCACGCGAAGTTATTCTCAATAAAAATTTTCGGTTTATTATTTAATCGTAAAAAATATTAAAAAAAACCATTGCGGAATGTAAAACAATTAATTTTAAGAACGTGCCCTATTGAATCAAGCCCAATTTATTAAAATTTTCAATGATATCAAATAAAAATAAAGTAAATAATAAAATTATTGAAACGATTTCATATAAAACTAACCTCAACCTCCAACATTTCATCAGTCAATGTTTTCTCAATTACATGTTGAAAATGACATGGATAGATTTCATGTTGAACTAGTAACAAGTAATTCGTCTTTGAATGATGTAAGCCGCTTGCTACTGGTGGTCAACAAGCAAACAAACATGTTTGTTTTTGCTCGCTCTTACAAGGAATATTAAGAAAATCTCGGTGAATGTTGAACGTGAAATGCTTAATGAAATATAATACGTCCAAATTTGTATTAAATTTATTTTTCGATAAATTATATTAATATTACTAAAAGAAATAATTCAAATAAAAACAACTTTTCAAAATATATTACATTTAAATTTCTAGAGAAATATTATGAAAGGAAACAACAAAATTTTTAATAAAACCAAAATTGAAAAATTTTCTCTTAGAATTTGATTATTATTTTTAAAAAATTATTGAAAAAAATAATACATAACATACAAAATAAAAATTATTTGTTCAAACAAATGTTTTTTGCAGGTTTCATCATCAATCGTTTAATTTGTATTCATCGGCAGGGCATCATGTGACACACCACAAACTTAAGATGGAGTATTTTATACACACACACACACACACACATATATATATATATATATATATATACACACACGCCAGTAAAAAAAGACTCTCGACTAACAACGCGACTAACAAAGTCACATTTTTATGGAATTGGCAAAAAATTGAAAAACACACATCCAAAAAACCAAACTGAATGTCATCTCACAGATCGAACCGAACGAAACAACGGAAATCAAGTTGCACATAGTGGAGGTCAGACAGGAAAATTTTCGGACCTACGAAATCATGGTGACCAATGAAGTGGGCACGCGTCATCATCACGTGACTCTCGTTCAAAGTAGGATACTAAGATGGCGATCGTAGTGGTGGTGTGATGATGATGTTGGTTTGTAAATGGTGATGACGATGATGATGATGGTGGTTATGCGGAAGTGGGAGTATTATTAGATTAAAAATGTTGGGATGATGTTGAGGTTTCATGTTCCAGGTTGGTGCATTCTCAAATGATGGCTATGTAAGTCACCGACAATATGTGAGATGTGTTTGTCATTTTGTACAATGCACTGTGGCAAGTTTATCGTTGAATGTTAAACATGACTGCTTGAATTTTTGTGATAAAAAATAAATAAATAAAATGATGTTCATCAAGCAATTTTAATTTACAACCGGGAAATAAATTTAAGATGAAAAAACGCACAGTTTAACAGAGCAATTTGTAAATTGTTTGGACTTCCTAATTTACCATTGCTGAAAAACCAACGTCTAAAGTGCGAGAGCTGACGATGTTTATATCGTAACAATTGTGTAAATGCAATCAACAAAATTTATTTTTTTTAAAATTTTCCATCACTATTAAATATTATTTCTTTTATTATTTTGTTTACAGATGCGTCAAAATAATTTTTCCAAACAAAAAATTCCGACATATTTTAGTTGATTAAATGTTTTTGTATACTTTATGAAGTAATAAATGAAATGAATGAAAAATAAATCGACTGACGTAAGGTTGTTGTGTTGTTGGTTTTATGTACGTAGACTGTTCATTTGTTCATTTGTTTGTTTGTTCATTTGTTTTTTTGTTTTGTTTGTTCGTTTGTTAGTTCGTTCGTTTGTTTGTTTAGAATGTACAGGGTGCACATTAGAGTTGGCATTTTATAAAGTAGGTACAAGCGCCATATCGTAGGATAGATGTTCAGAATGCTCTTTTGGGATTTGCAGGCTAACTGAGCTTTAAATCAACTGCTGGCAAGCAGGCTTGTTACTGTAAAACAAATGCACTCAAGAAGGCAATTGCAAGCAAACGTAACGATGAGTCTTCTTTTTTTTATAATTTAATGAGCATGAAAATAGATGTTTGATGCATTAACGTCATGATGTTTATGAGAAAAAGTTACGATAGGAGGAAGAGAAACAGGATGAAGAAGTTATTCAAAAGCATGTTCCGGATGCAATTGAGCGATGATCGTGACGTTCAATGATGTTTTTAAGCACGCACTCCCTTCCTTCGATCCATGTTGTTTGTCTGTCTTAATGCACGAGTTAACATTTTATCACTTTTTCATAATAATTGTTTAAAAAAGGCTAAATTAAATTTTTTTTTGTATATCTAGACACGCCCATCAGTGTTTTGAGTGTGATGCGTTGACATGTCTTGCCGTTGTTTTGTGTTATGTATAAATAAACGCTTGAAATCTTTTGTAGCTGACACTGTTCCGTGTGAAGCTGATGAATGGCATGCGCCCTCCAAACTCGCTGGTCCTGGGCCTCGACCCCATTGACCCGTTTGTTAATTCGGCCCTGCACGAGATGTTGAAAAATAATGGTGCTGAGTTTTTGTCTGAGGTAGCGAGAACTTTCCAGTAACGAGTTACAAAAATGATATTTCGGCTAAAAATATTTACCTGGATATTAAATTACGTTGGTTAGAGTGCCTGGTCTGACGTACGTAACTTTTTGCCGATGGTCATCAGACAGCAACATCGCGAAAAACTGTACGTAGATAATTTATAGAGCAAACAAATTGTTAAGCGAAAAGCTGACGTCAGAGTTTGCCTAAAACCTTTTAACTAACAAAAAAATCAATATTTGCCAGAAAATTTGTTTGAAAATTATATAATTTAGGTTATGTCTGGATATTTTAAATGTCTGCAAACATGTCCGATGGAGAGCATTTCTTGATAATTTGCTTATGTCGACCCGCAAATCAACATAATTTTCCTTTTGAGAACATAGACGATTAAATTGAAAATAGACTAAAAATGAAAAGCGTTCGTTTAAAAATACCATAATTTCCTAATTTTTATAATTTATTAAGAATTGTGAGTTGATAAATTTTTTAGCAATTTGCTTTTAAACTAACAACCATGCTTTGAAATTCACTTTACGTTTGGCGGTTGGAGTATGAACTCTATTCTTCATATATACTCACAGGTCTAAAAATATTTGTAGTACTTACTCTTTATAATAATGAAATTGAAATAATCTCAAATAATTTAATAATCAACAAAAAATGAATTTGACTTAAAATTTAAAAAGTTTATCAAATTCATTTCGTTTTTGAAAATAAGAATGAAGCGTGAAAAATTTTCAATGAAAACTCCACAACTGTTTGAAAGTGGGTATCACAAAATAAAAATAATTCTGTAATTAAGCTATCTTATATTGGAATATTTCACGAAAGTACGAAACCTTGGTTGGGGTGCTCTAAATTGTTTGCAAATCTCTTTTAAGTCTCCCAACGTTCTCTTTCTCTTTCATTCGGTAGGGAAGTTATGCAGTAAAAAGTTTTAGTAACCAAATTCTTATTAATGAATTTTAAAATCTTTCTAGAAAACACCCATAGATACTGGGAAAGAAAAACAAGTTGTGCAAAAACTTATATTCCATCGGTGTAATTGAAATCTTATAACATAACAGTTCGTGCGACATGCGTTGACGACCAGGCTAGATGCAAACAACGTGTTTGACCACCACCTCATACGTACACACAACATTCTCGCTGCAACCTGATACACGTGCTGTGAAGCTACTGATGCATTCGAAGCCATTGAACCACGTGCCTGCCGGCCGGTGATGAACCGATACGAGTGTCACACATTTCATTTCTCCTTCTTTCGTTTTTCAAGCACTTTTTCTTATCTACGCCTTTCAAGTTTTAGTACGTTTGGAAATTTTTCGTACTGAATGAAAATTATGATGTATGCCAATTTCCAAACAACTGCCCATCGTTAAAACATTTAGCCTACTTCATAATCGGCGATGACGTAGCTTCTAACTTTCACTACTTTACTTCGACGAACTCAAATTTTTGTAACTCAAAGTATGTTTAATTGTATGTAATTTCTAATTTTATATTGAAAAAAGTAATAATGAGGGTCGGATTTGAGACAGAACAGGTTGGGGCAGTAAAAAATGTTGAAAAATTTGTGAATAAAAGCAAAAAATGTCATAAACGTTTTTAGTAAGCAAATTGATACTAAAATCAAACTAATTAGAAGCTTCCACCAATTATTTTAGATTTTGTTCAAGTAATTGAAGGGCCTCCAGAAAAAATTACAAAAATCTACTAAATATATAGAGGGCTGCCGCTATTTGTTGTCCCGAGACCAACACTTTTGTAAATCCGGCCCTGAATGTAATATATAATGACCAATACCAATTTTTAAAGAATGTTTAAAAATGAATTTATGAAAGTTGATGTCCTTCAAAGTAAATTAAAATTGAACGACTTTAATGCAATCAATATATAGTATTCTACTTTCTTTATTTTAATTTGTAAATGAAACTATTAGAAAATGTTTCGACACGTTCGCAGAGGTGGTGACGTCAAACAAGGAGACGATGGACGGAGACCGGTTGAAGACCAGATTCCTTCTGAAGGATCAAGCTCACGCAGACAGCCACAACAACCACACCTACCACAACCACAACAACCTTCAAACATCTCACAGCGATCACGTACTCACGCGAACGAAGAACATACGAACGTCGCCATTTTCAAAAGATTATAAATCATCAATCGAGATAATGTCAACGTCATTTTGGTACCAAATGATATTCGCCGGCTTGAGACATCTGATTATTAAATTTTCAGTTGAACGGACGTGAAGCGAAATTTATTTTTAATTTTCGTTTTAGAATTCGATAGAAAAATTATGAAACAGCTTCGTTCGGTAGGTGGATTATATTTCAACGGACGCTTCCAACCTTTTGCTTGAGTTTATCATTTTGTAAATTTTCATGTAAATAGAAAAAATTATTTTAAAACTTTACTCAGTCTGTTCATTTAAAAAAAGTTCTTTCTTTCAGATGATCCAATTTTTTTTCGCTAATGTAAGATCGACATGGGATGGTTGTCGTATTGACACGATGAAAATTATGTAATGTGATGAAGTGATGAGGAATAATGTTGTTTACACGCTGCGCTAGAACCGTCAAACGATGAAGTTTAGTAAAAATATTATCACGGATTAAGAAATTTAAAAAATCTTCAAACAACGCAAAAAAGTTTCATCATATTAAATGAACTTCCACACGTTGAAATGAAGTATAAAAGTATGGTAAAGTGAATAATAAATACCTAGTCATTGGTTGAAGCTTAAATAAAAATAGAAATAAGTTTGTCAATAATAATTGAGACAACACAAAGAGTAAAACAAGTGAGAGAAGAAACACTTCATTCATTTCAATTCAAGGTTCTCCATCTGCATGCAACAATCTCTCTACGATGATAACAACGACGATGATGGTGGTGGAAACGATGACGACGACGACGATGTTTTAAAAGTATAAGGCTGCTAATGATAAGAAAGTGTGGGATGATGAACCAACTGTACAGAAAGAAATAAATGTGTGCATTATATATATATATATATATAACAAAACAACTAGTATATAAAGCCCTGTATACGGAAATGTGTGAAAACGTGGATGCACTGAGGACTAAACCACATACAAATACACATACACACACATACACGTATACATACAGACAAGACAAGTCTGCATCATCAAATGTTATACTCTACACTTTAAAAATTCGTTCGTACGTGCACACAGTGTTTGCAAAGTTCGTTTTATTTATAATAACAAACTCCCAAACCCAACACGAAAAATGTCAAGCAACATGAAAACCTTCCTGAATAAACGATTTATTCATCTTAAAGTTATTCGTTTACTTACTTAAAAACGAACTATTTTGTTAAACAAATATAGGATAGACGAATATAATGTGTACAGTTTAAGTAGGTTTCTACATGCAAAACATATTAAAACTTTGCAACATTATAGGCGAGCACTGAATTCACAGTCTGGTTCACAAACCCTTGAAAATATTAATTCATTCATTCATTCATTTATTCTTTCGTTCGTTCATTCATTCAGACTTTCAAAAATTTGTTAGTCCATCTTTCCATTTTATCATCAACCATCAATCTTTTCTTGTGATATACTTCAATTTTTTCTTGTCAGATTTGCGAAAGTTTTATACTAAACTATTTTTAGTCATTTCTTTGAAATTTGTCTGTTTATGTGTTTTATTTGGTATGTGTATATTTAATTGATAAACGTTTGATAACCGTTTGATAAATACATAAATAAATATATATATATTTATATACATTTTTCCAACGAGTGTTTGCTAACTTTACTAATTTGATGCTTTCAGCGGAGGAACACGTCCAGATAAACCAAAACGTATCGAAGAGTGAATTTCGGTCTGACAAACTTTTAAGAGCTAAGAACTGCTACTAAAGAATAAAGTCAATAAATTATTATTTCACAACATTACACAAACTTCAGAATTCTAAAAGTCAGTTTGAAATGACAGAAATAAACGAGAATTAAAAAAATGAAAAAAGTTCGTCAACTTTAAAATTTTGAAAATTACCCTCCATCCAACACAAAACTCTTGATCCGAACCGTGAATACTACTGATTAGGTGTATACTAACCACAAAAATTCACATTTAACTTTCCGCACACAGGCATGTATGTATAAATGAATCTTATATACATAATCCGAATGACTGTATGACTGTATACTGCAAGAAAACACTTTCTCCAGCATGGCATTTTGTATGTGATATAAACAAAACAAATATTATCTGTTTAAAAAAACGTTTTAAATGTAGGAATAACGTTAGTGTATATATATATGTGTGTGTTAGTGTGTTAGTGTATGTGTGTGTACGTGCATGAGCTGAAGAAGCATGGATGACTAACACCATGTTCCAAATGCAAATTCAAAGGCGTTATTTCACTGTAATATTACATACAAATTCAATGTAATGCACGTAATACATACAATATAATCCAACGTACGTACATTGTATTGTAATGTGCATTGTATTTTAATGTAGCATAAAAAATGTAATGTGTACTCAGTAACACAATTTAAGTATCAAAAAACAACACAATCATTCATAATTAGATAACTCCTGTTACATTACTGTTTAACAGATTTTTTTAATAATTTGAATTTACAACGCACTCACACACACGCGCGCGCGCACACACACAACTCACACAACACACACAAGTTACACAGCACACACACACACACACACACACAACTCACACACACACACACACAACTCACACACACACACACAAATAAATGAAACTCATTTTATTATCTGTATATTATAATATGTAATGAAAAAACATTAAAAAAATATAACGTGTTTAAAATATAAATAAAAAATATAACGTGTATGCGCACAATAAATGCACGCTTGCGTGTGTGCGTGAGTGTGCACGTTGAATTGAAACGTGGGTGAACATGGAAGGCTTGGAAAAGGAGCACTGTTTTGTTAGTTTAATTCAACTTCTGTTATTGTGTTGAAGAGTATGGAAAGATGTACGAACGCACGCACACACACGCACACACACACACACGCACACACACAAAAACAAACAAATTATGGTTCGTTGTAGGTAGGTGCATGCATCTACTCTTGGTTTATCCGTATGTAACTTTATTATTATGGTTACGAATATATTATATTTGGTCTAACGTCTTTTCTGTTTTTAGCAAGTGAAAAAATAGATACAAAATTAAACAATTTTTTTTTATAAATATATATTTATTTTTATATATGAATTTCCATTAAATTTAAATCAAATTACTGAGGATTTTTTGATAAATTTGGTTTTATTTCACGTGCTCATAAAATATCACGTACAATAAACGTTTGGAGCACGTACGTAACACGCTTGTTCAAAACTCAAAACAATTAGATTATTGTTATACGAATGTATAATATACATGCATTTGTGTAGATGTTAAAGTGTCTCTACATACGTTTGCATATGCATACGTATGTAGTTATATAGTTATATGTACGTGCCATTTAATACGTAGTATGTCTGTGTGTGCGTGTGCGTGTGTGTAAGAATAAGATGAGAATAAGTTTGTAGGAGCGAATTCTTCTCCCTAACAACTATTCAGCTGCTGAAGCGAGCAGCTTAAACGTGTGTGAAAACAAAAATTTTCATTTTTAATGTTGTTGTTATTTTTTTCAATTTTTGGATAATTAATGAATATTGAGGTTGAGATTAAAGTAAATTTTTGATTGAATGCCCCGTGTCGGATTAAATTAAACTGACGAGCAATCGTTAAATGTTTGGAGTTAGCATCGTATCATTACAATAGATAGATAGATTTCATTACATTATAATAAAACTGAAGTGTTGTGCTGGTTGAAAGCTGCAAGTAACTTTTGTTAATTGGATTATGAGTTGTTGAATTTTTGGCTGCATAGTATAGGCATTGGATTTTAACTTTGTTCTAAAGTTGGTTCACCATTTTCACGATTACTAATTTTAAACAATGATGTCCTCACAAAATTTTATTTAAAGATTAATTATTAATAGTATTAAAAATGGGAGGGTGCGGTGGTGTAATGGTTAAAATGCTTGGCAAGCTGTTGCTTTGTACGGTGCAGTGATCAGGTTCGAACGCAAGAGATCTCCGCCTATCACATGCTGACGATCTGATTCACGCGTATTTAACAAGGCTGTTTATTTGTTGATACCTCTAAAAGATGCCAAACGAAGAACTGCAGAAATGATAGTTATTGATATTATTGCTAGTAGTAGTGTAACAATTATTAAAATTAAATTTTCAGCCTGACCGCACCGGTCAGCTAAGAAGCTGTTAACCTGCTGGCACTCACAAGAGGTAGATCAGCCAGATCAACATGACTTCAAATTTCCTATTTTGGTTGGTTTTCTTGCGAATATCATTTTGACAATTTGTTGTTAACTTTAATGGCGAAAACACGATAATCTATCTCAATAAACAGCGGCGTACCATGACGCTCCCTCACCTGCAGGAATGTACGTAATACTTATTTGCGTAAAAACGATTCCACCACCCAATATAAACCTTATATATAATGTAAAAGTTAACGAACTAACAATCTATAGCGAGTCGAGCTAATTGTTTCGACCATCTCCTTCTCTATGCTTTGACTGCCAAGTCAGACAAACGCTTCTTTTCCCAAAAAGCCTACAAATAAGTTCAAGTGAATTTTAGTTTGCACGCAGCTTGCAATCAACACGGAAATTTGCATAATTGAAAAATTGGAAATGAACCAGGTCGGAATGGTTTATTGCTTTTATTGTGTCAAATACCAACAAAAATGGTTTTATCAAGTAAGATTTTTAATCTTTAAATTTAAATCAATTAACTTTCACGAAGAGACTTATAATAGTTTAAAAGAACTTATAAAATTTTATACTGTTAAAACCTATTAAAGCAAAGGTTAAATAGTTAATCCGATTTTTTGTTTTTTTCCGAAATCTTGAAGCAAATAATATTTCATGTGATGTCTTGGGCGCTCTCTACACTCGGTGCCCGAGGTATACAACCCACCCACTACAAACAACACCCCGGTACGCCATGAATGCAGGGAATATTGTCTCCTGTGGGTCTATTTAATAAAACGCATGAGTTTTAATAGTTTGTTGCAAAATTCTTTTCAATTTTTTTTCAACTGTGGCGAACTCTCTGGCTACATGTTTTTAACTTGAAATATGTAAATAATCATGTAATTCTTGTTCCTAATTTTTCGTTTAAGTGGACACAAATTTCATTCTTTTTTATCCGTTGTTATAAGAAAAACTGAAAATGACCACAATTTTCAAAGATTTTATTTTTTTAAGCTTTTAGACAAAAAAATCTTTTTGTTTTTTACACTTTTCAGTTCTTGTTATCACAAATTTTATACAACTGTCAATTTTTGTTAAAAAGTTATTGAAAAAATAGTTTGTTTTGTTCGTATATAGGACCTACATTTTGTTAATTATCAAATTATAATTTAGTCAAATGATAATTTTCATGGTGTGAATGATATTTTAGAATTTTTGATTATTTAATCTTTACAGCATCTATTCATTTTTTAAATTAATTTTCATACAGTTAAATTGAATTTTGTTTTATGATTTAAAAAATGAACGGTGGATACTCAAATGTTCTGCTTTGAAACTTGCATTCAGGTTGACGTTGCTTGTTGTCCATGGATTATTAATCGCTATTGTTTCCTCGGTTAGTCTTTTTAATGTATTATTTCGAATCATCACCATTATTTAAAACAACCATTTAATAAATTACTAAAATCACACCCCAAAACTCCACAGACTTAACGCAAATCAGTCTAGACTTTCAGAATTCGCGTCACCATTCCATAAAACGTTGCGTGTACAATGAATTATAAACAACTTATCTTAAAAATTTTTGCCAATATTAATTCACCGATTAGTTAAAATTTAATAAAAATCCTATTGAAATGTTCGGTGGATTCTTTTTTTAGAGCAATTTAATCTTGGCTACGGTTTAATTCATTAGCATTTAAAAAAAAGTAATTTCACCGTTGTTCAGCTAATTCGATGCAGGCGACTGATAGAAACCTCGGAAAATGATATTGTCTTAAGCTCTTAACAATATGAGTCTTGGAGAAAAGGTTTATACCTTGTTGTATGAATAGTGCGACACTTCCACAATACGATAGGCTTGGGTAGCTGCGGGGCTGGAAAATATTTTTGGAAAATAATCTTTAAAATTAGTGTGCGTTTTTCAGCTACAAGTATAAGCGTGGTAGGTCAAGTCTAGTAATAGAAAATTACTTCTCTGACACAATATATGTTATTATATTATAATATATGTTATGATTATATATAATTATAGATATTATTATATGTATGTGTAATGTCCTATTCATGTTACGCTGAAAATAACCAATGCCATTTCGTTAGATTTAGATTTAACTTTTATCGATAAAGTTTTTTCATAATGGAAAATTTATGTTAGGCGAAAAGTTTACTTTTAATTTGAAACATTGAAAATTATAGATTAGATGAGAATTTTTATTATAATTTAAATTTAATTAAATGGAGACATAATAGGTGCAAACATTGAAGAAAAATTTTTTAAAGGAAACGTTTCTAGAATTATGTAATTTGTCTTTAATCCCTATTTTTACAAGTCAACAAACGTACGTTTTACTAATGTTCCTTGCTTAAGCCTTAAGTTAAGTGTCTTCTAAGTTAAGTTCTGTTGAGTTAAGACTAAGAGGCTTCTTAGTTCTTACCTTAATTAAGTTAGGCAGTAAGCTTGCTTAACGCTTAACAACCATGACACTGACTAACCGAACCAAAATTTATACTAAATATCATTTCAAACTTAAAATTATTTCCTATCATAAAAAAATTTAATTTGTAATACTTTTTAATTTTCTGAAAAAGCTTCTGAACGTTGGTTAACTGACGTTTGCTAGCTTTTCACAAGTCTATTTTTGACTTAATTTAATTAAAAAGTTGTTGTTTTTTTTTTATTTCAGCAATCTGCATTTCAAGAAAATACTCGATACGCAGCAAACGAATGCACATACTGTGCAAATTCTGGGGCCTGTAACTGTGTTGGAGAGAAAGGCTCTAGGGTTTGTATTTTTTTATCTTCGCATCTGAAAACAATGAAGTTCTAACTAATAGAAAATTATATAAAGACTCTGTGAATGAATGTTTTCTCGCTTATCAATGTTAACATTCTTAGAATTCTGCTGTGTCAATCGTTTATGCAGTTGAAACATAAACTGCTGGTATTATTTAGGGTTATCCTGGAGATCATGGATATCAAGGTTCACCTGGACCGATTGGGGCCAGAGGACAGACAGGTATTGAAGGTCCCAAAGGAGAAAGAGGTGACAGAGGAGGTGATGGCCCACAGGGAATGAAGGGAGATAGGGTTGGTCATTCACTTCTTCTTCTGTCTCATTTTCTTATTTAAATTAAATTAACTTTTTCCTACATTTCTGTTGCACATTTTGCATAACATTTATGAAAAAAAAACTATTTTTCAATTATGGATTGGTCATTTGTGGAGCACATTAAGGTACCAACCACAATTTATATGAGTCACACTTATTTTAATATAAATTAGGTTTTTTAATAACTGGGCCTACCTACATAGACTAATGAATTTATTTTCAAGTTGAATAAAATTTTATAAATTTGTTCTGATAGAGTAAATTAAACGTTTTCATAATATGAAAATGTTTAAATTAATTAAAGTGATCAATTAATTTAAATAAATTATGGTATGCTATATGAAGTTCCTATCAACGTTAACAGTGTCTCATCTATGATAATGGGACATTTATTTACACTTATTTTTACATAAAATTTTTATATAACAATAACTTTTACAAAAATTTTGTTAAAAAAAATTTTTACATAAAATTTCTGTAGGGACCCACGGGTCAGCCAGGTTTTTCAGGCATCAGTGGACTTGATGTGAGTTTTGTATGCCTCATTACTTCAATGTTGATGTTTATTTTAGTAACTTTATGATCAATTTGTTTGAAAATTGTTTTTTAATTTTTTTAGAAATAGATCAAATAAAATAAACCAATATTGAGTAGTGTATATGCCTATCTAGCTGTTAGAGGTGTTTTGTTCGCTAGTGTTAAATTTTTATAATACGATGAAACCACAATTATTTAATTTTTAATTTGTACAATTCATTGACATGAATGAATGTGTGAAATATTACACCACTTGTATATTAGGTTTTTAGTTTTGCTAGTCCATAAAATTCGTATTTAAAGCTTAATTTATTAACATATTAAACTTTTTTATTTTAATACTTTTTTCTCTCTACATTTGTGTTTTGTTAAAAAATGTTTAATCTTAAAAAGTGATTTAATTTCTTTTCACTCTAAATTAGTTTTCAATTAGTTTAAGTGATTACAATAATGATAGTGGTAATATTATTGGTGTTGTTGCATTTACAAATTTGTTGTTACCTTTCAATTGAGCAGGGCCATAAAGGAAGTGAAGGAGAACGAGGGCAGAGAGGGTATGATGGATGCAATGGCACCCAGGTAGTGCTCGTTTTTTTTTCTTCAATTTTAAGTTTTTTTTTATCATGAGTCAATTTTTCTTTGACTTAGTATATACCGTTTCTTTATGAATTTGTTTGATGGAAAATTGATTTATTCATCTTTTAATATAATGATGAATTTTGGTTCATTCAAGAAAGTTGTTTTATTTGGCAATTAGTTTTTAATTTTAAAGTAATTATAAGCTTTTCATAGTAATGTTTTACTAAAAAGTGCTCATGTGACACTATGTTCCCTTTTTTTCTTGTAGAAAGAAATTTAAAATTTATATGTTTTAATAAAATTTAATTTGTTATGTAGTTTTAAAATATTTCAAACTGAAAAAATGTAAGGGTATTGCTGGACCCCCTGGACTTGGAGGAAATAATGGGCTGCCAGGAGCAGCTGGAGAAAATGGACCAAAGGGAGAGAGAGGTGAAGATAGGTTCCCTCAGAAAGGATCAAAAGGAGATATGGTGATGTATTTTTTATCTTTTTCATTGTAAATGTTCAATTTGCAGCCAGAAAAGTTGCATTTTATTAAATCTAGTTCAATTGCAAAATTCCTGATTATCTTATGTGATGTTTCAGATGCATTGATCAATGTGTGCCATTAATTCAGGCTGTGTGTGCTTGCCATTGTCTAAGTAATGTTAAACAGAAAATGCCATTGCATTGAAAAACATTTAACTTATTTAGATTTAAATTCCTTATTTGCATTTATTGGTACGTTGATAATAATTTTAAATGATTTTTGTAAATAGGGTGATAGAGGACCTCCTGGTGAGAGTGGTGACATTGTTAGTATTAGTGTTATTTCTTATTTTACCACCAAATTTTTGTAGATCTGTCCGTTGTTTCTGTTGATTAATTTTATTTCAGAAATATTTTTCATGTTATTTTTTATTTAGTTAATTATAATGACATTATCTACATTGTATTTTTGTACTGGTTTGTGTAAAACGTGTTGATTTTGGTTTGTGTAAAATGTGCTGTTTATTTTGCGTTGGTACACAGGGACGTCCTGGTTCAGAAGGAATGAACGGTGACCAGGGAGATCCAGGTCTCACTGGACCAAAGGTTACTTACTATTTTTTGATAACATTTTAATGCCATCAAAATATCATTTCATCTGTTTTAAGTTGCTCTAAACTCTTAACAAAGAGCAATCACCCAGTATTTATTTGTTTGACACTAATTAGGGAGCAAAAGGACAACAGGGACCCAAAGGACCGCCGGGTTCTACAAATCCTTTTACCGTGGAAGGCAATCCTGGTGAACAGGGTGATCCAGGTGAGCCAGGTGCACCCGCCAACGCCAGTACTGAGCATATTAACGGTTTGCCTGGCGAAACTGGACAAAAGGTAAATAGAGATGGGGTCCTTTTACCTTACTTTGAGCATTTGTTATAATGCTTGTACTATTTATAATTTTTAATATAGAGAAATTCATTTTTCAAGCAATTTCTAATTTTTCTTTTTAATTCCATCGAAATAATAATTATGAATAAAATTATAATTAAACTAATTATTGAAAAAATAGGGAAGCAAAGGGGATAGAGGTGATTCAGGACCGCCTGCCAGTCGAGGAGATTACGTAAATTGATTTCATTCAAGTTTTTTGTTTTATTTTACAAATGAAATTTATTAAAATATATTTTTGAATTAATATTTTGAAATCTTGTTTTGAAATAAAACGTTAGAATAAAATTTAAATATAATTAAAAAAAAGAATTTTATTTATCCCAAAAGGGTTGGCAAGGTGATAACGGTAGAGATGGAGAGAAAGGTCTGCCTGGGCTCCCTGGTGGCAGAGTTAGTATTTTTATATTTTTTGTATGATTTTTTCTTCTTTTTGTTTAATTTAATGAGTTTAAATTTCCTATCTTATTGAAAATCAAATTAAAAACTAACTTAATTTGTTTATACTAGTTGTGGTTTTGAGCACCAAGTCAGTCCATAATTACTGTATAATTATTGTATGGTATTGTTGAATAATTTGTTGTAAATCATGATATTCCATAGACTTGAAATACTTTATTTGATGTACTGTTTATACTTTTATAGGGAAATCAAGGGGAGCCAGGTCCTTCCGGTGGCAAGGGATTAAAAGTAATAGATTTTTTGTTTCTCATTTCATTTCATTATATTTTGATGTATTTTATTCTTTAAGCAGTTTCCATCATTGTAACTTGACATTGTAGCAATTTTTTCATCAAAGTGAAAAATCACGCTGGCATCATGCACTACAAAAATAAATTCAACTTATCAATAAATTTTCGTAAAAATAAATAAATGAATGAACGTGGTTAGGGTGACGAAGGTTATGTTGGAGATGTTGGCTGGCCTGGACCGAAAGGAGAAAAGGGAGATAGAGGAGACCAGGGCAGGAAGGGGCCGAAGGGGCGGGCTGGGAACGAAACAGTGAGTAATCAATATTCCTTACTATTTTTAACAACACAGCATAACAACGCCTTCTTTTACATCTCATGCAAACTTTTTATATTTCTAGTACAATATTATTTTAAAAATTAGCCAATTGGTGAATGCAAAGCTGGGCCTCCGGGACTTAAGGGAAACAAAGGTGTTCCAGGAAATCTCGGATATACAGGACCGAAAGGAACAAAAGGAAAGCCAGGGGGTCCTGGAGACAGAGGAATGCCAGGTCCACCTGGAAGGGATGGAGAGTCTAGATTATTTGGTCCTAAAGGAGATGATGGTTTACCAGGTTATTTATTTCAATCTTTTTTAGAACGTTTTGAATTCTTCTATACTTTTCATTGCCGTGTTTTTAAACATTTATTTTGCGTTTTTTATAGATAATAATAATAATAGTGTCACATGCTATAGTGAAGTGGAGCACAATGCCACGCAATTTAGGGGCTCTTGAAGTTAATAATTTATTATTAATTGCATGTTAAGAAAGCTTCTTTGGAGTAGAATGTATTTCAAAGATGGTTTAAAGTACTGAAGAGTACAATTTCCAAATGTATGGAGCAGCATGTTGAAAAGTTTGTCGTGAAGAAAATATTGGAGGATCGAAGACGTTTGTTGTCAGTGTTGCATTTAGTAGACTGCTGAAATATGTTTGCAAATGTGTAGAAGTGAGTTTAAAAATGACGAAGGCAATTTTGAAAACGATCCAAAAAGAGAGAGGAGACCAATGTAGTTTTGTTAAGTTTGTCAAAGTTGATGATGCGTGATTCTGGTGTGTTAATCTGGTTCATTATTATCCATTGAAGATGTACTTTTCTTTGAGTTATGCCATGCATTATTGAATTGCAGTAATCCAATTTTGGCAATACCTACGTGCTAAATTATTGTCGCAAGTTCAGTTGATGAAATCAGTCTAATATGTCGTATTTCTTTTATGTGATTGTTAATGTAATTGCATCGTTAATGATGTACTGTAGGTAGAAAATGTGACCTTTTTCAAATCATTAAAAATTTGATCACTAAAAATTTAATGAAAACAAGATAATATACGGAACAATGTAAAGTAATAAAATGGAAGTACATATACAATAAATATTCAATTATTGAAATTGAGTTAATTTTTGTTTAAATAAAAACAGTGTTAAGGTTATTCTAAGAGTCTTGAGTTTATGTGATATTGGGACTTCAGTGTTGTTTAGTTGAATTGAAATTAAGTTATTTGATGAATTAACTGACGGGAAATGAGCCTAATAGGATAAATTCAGTTAGGATCAAGGCTAGATTAGATATTGATTATAATCAATATCTATCCTAGCTTTAACCCCAACTGAATTTATCATTATATGTAAATTAAACTTTATTTGATTCACATGTATGTCTGTTTCAAATTTTAAAGGTGACGGTTTATTTTGAAATTTATTGTTAGGTATCAATGGCAATCCAGGAAGTATGGGTTCGAGAGGACTCCCTGGAGACAAAGGAAATATGGGCGAAAAAGGTGAAAGTGGAAGAATGATTCCTGGATTTCCTGGAAAACCTGGTCCCAATGGTAAGGAAGGATATCCTGGACCAAAAGGAGACAAAGGATACCCAGGTGAACCTGGTGTTGATGGAGACAGCGGAATCGACATTCCCGGTCCTCCTGGATTTCCAGGTGATAAAGGAGATGTAGGAGAAGTAGGTGATCCAGGTAGAAACGGACTACCTGGACAACTTGGACAACCAGGTTTTTAATTTACATTTTCCTTTCTAGTCCTTGACAAAAAAAAATTATGTCGCTTAAAATGGAATAATGCTTTTTCAGGTGAGTCGGGTGGATCATGCAAGCTATGTCCAGACGGCCGGAAAGGGGAAAAAGGTAATCCAGGTACAATTGGAAAGCCTGGTGCAAGAGGTATTGAGGGACTTCCTGGACCTATTGGCCCTGCAGGTAACGAAGGAGATCAGGGCGTCAACGGTCTACCAGGAAACAGAGGAATCCCGGTATGTCAGTTGACTTTTGATCAATTTTTTAATTAAATTGTTTGGTATTACTGTGATATTTATATTTCTCTTATGTTACTTATTTTTATTTGTGTTTACACATTGATATTATTGATCTACATCATATTGTGAGTAATAAAGTCTGATGCTTTAATTTGCAAAATTTTGAATTTTCGTTCAGTAAGAGCATATCGTGCATACACGTTTAGAATGTTTCTGACAACTAGCTCTTTAATAAAATATATTATTGTAAACATAATGGAGCATACTTAATTTAATTTAATGTTGTTGCAATTTGTCAGGGTATACCGGGAAAACCCGGTGCAGCAGGAGAAAAAGGTGAGAAAGGCAAATCAAGCTTTGTAAAGGGCTTTCCAGGAGACCAAGGTAGTTAATTAATTGTTCACTTCATGCTGCATAAGTGTTTCTTGTTTGTTATGTTGTTGTAAATGTTTCTCAGGGCAGAAAGGTGATGCAGGTCAACCTGGTCCAGATGGCAAGCAAGGAGCTCCTGGTCAACTTGGACCACCTGGACCAACGGGACCGACAGGTTTACCTGGCTCCCAAGGACAAAAAGTATCAATCATCTTTTCAATTGGATTAATAATAGTTGCCAGATGTATATGAGAATGTTGCAATAAAAACATTTTTGTAGTGTAGTTGTCTGGTACGTTTTTAAAAGTCATGATTAAAGTGATCAATTGCAATGTATAAAGTTTAAATACATTTAATATATTTCTTATAATTGAAATTTTAGAAATTTTGTTTAATGAAGGAATTTTCCCAGCCTATTTGAAAATTTCCAAAATTTTACCTTTTTTTAAATCAGGCTTTGTAAATGACACTGCAAATTATAGGCCAATTAGTGTGGTTTTTGTGTTTCGAAGTTGTTTGAGAAAATCATTGTTGGTCGTTTGATACTTTTGTAGATAATCATAACTTAATTAATGATACGCAATTTAGTTGAAGAAAGAATTTATCAACTGAGCTCGCAGTTTTAAAATTTCACAGTGACCTGATTTTCAAACGCAATAATTTAAAGCATACACTGGCCATTTATGTTGATTTTTCTGAGGCGTTTGACTCGGTCCACCATGGTGTCATTCTTTGATTGAATCATACTCGGAGGCCAGATCTCAGTTTGTCCTCTATAGGAAGACATCGAGAAAACAATTAGCGTTTATGCTATTTTCAATTGTAATTTGAAACCACATGCTCAGGCACAACTCTCATTTTACTTATTTTTATACATATGTTGCTCAAAAGAGAAAAACATTTTGCAATAGAAGAGCCAATGATAAGCGCAAAAACCCAAAAGTTAGAGTTCAGAGCTATAGTTTTAAAACATTATTTCAAGCATATCACAAAATGTATAGCTAGATGTCTTAATGCTATTAAACAAAATCAAATAAATGCAAATTTATACATAGAAAGATATACAATATATGACTTCTATAATCAAATTTTAATTGTACCAGCACAGCACTTCACAAGCTTCATTTCAACAGTTTTATTTGTGGCTATTCTTTAGTAATGTATTCAGAATTACGTCTACAGATAATTATTTTAGGCGTACTATAATTGATAACAACTGGATTTTATTATAATGTATAATTGTAGGGGAACCCTGGATCGCCAGGTGGTGGTGGGATACCAGGAAGGATTGGATTTCCCGGTCAGAAAGGACAAGTTGGAGAAACGGGACCTGGCAGACCGGGAGCAAAAGGAGAAAAAGGCAATCCTGGGCCCATTGGAGAAAGAGGCTCAGATGGAGAGAAAGGATTTCCCGGTGTGCCAGGTTTGAACAACTTTTCAACTTTTTTCATTTATTTTTTAATAATGTTTAGTTATTATAAAGTATTATGTGTACAAAATATCCATGTGCTATGACAGTTTATTAATTTTGTTCAATCATTATTTATTAATTTAGTTACTATAAAATTGCCAATAATGTAATAAATTGCAAAAAAAACTTTTTTATCAATTGATGATGATACTATTTCAAAAAGAGTTCCACCGTTATATTAATTATAAAGCATAAGGAGATAACGTACTCTTTGCCAGGTCTGTTCAATGGTACGATTGCCAAAGGTGAGAAGGGGCCGCCAGGCATGAGAGGATTGCCAGGCCCCAAGGGATCTCCCGGAAGAGCAGGCGAGCCTGGAGATGCAGGTATTTTCACTATTTTCACATGTCCGCCACGTTCAAAAAATTTAATTTTTTTATTATTCTTTAAAAAAATCAGAATCTGACATACGCAGAAACTGTTACAGCTTGCAAGGAAATACTATAAAATGATAACGAAAAATAACTGTCGTAATAATTGTTTTCGTTAAGGATACCCTGGTGTTCCTGGATTTCCTGGGCCAAAAGGGAGTAAAGGAGATTTTGGGATTATTGGAGAAGATGGACCTCCAGGCATGTTTGGTTTTCCTGGGGAGAAGGGTAATACTGGTTTTGTTGGTATAGCCGGAGTCAATGGGACTGTTGGTGATCCTGGAACTCCTGGGTCTAAAGGAGTGAATGGTCAGTTTTGTAGACTTTTCAAGTGCGACAACAGACTATGCAGACGAATGAGTTATCTTGCATACTTAAATTAAAACTGACTCATATATTTTTGCATGTTCGCTTTGTTATTTTCACAATTTTTGTATAGTCAGAGATTTTTTTTTGAAAATGTTTCTAATTTTCTGTTCATGTTCATGTTGTTTTTTTTTTTATTATTTGTATAACCGTTAAAGTTTGTAAGGTGAACCATTGTTTTGAAGTAGGTTATTTTTATATAAAATATAATTTTTTGTTAACGTGTAATGCTTCATGATAGAGTGCAGTCTTGAACAATTTACATTTTCGGAGGTTTTAAAATCCCCGTTAATAAAATTTTTGCTTTCTTGTTTAGTAATGGAAATTAATAATTATATATGATGAGCTTTGTAAAGGATATCTACTAAATTCTGGGTAAATATTTATTTGTCAAGCTTTTTAACTTTATGTCACAACACATCAACTGACTGCCAAAGAATTAAATTTTGAAGATAATTTTTTTATTTAAACCGTTTTTGCTCTTGTGTACTTTGTTAATATATTTATTCAAATCCTTAAAATAATGTAAAATCTCTTTAAATTATTTTTATTAACTTCGAACAAAATATTGTTTAAACAGTGAAGATCTAGTAAAAAAAACTTTAAAATGTGAATTGAAACTTTGTAAGCTTCTAAAAATTTATAAATTTTTTTTTGTTGGTTAGGATTGCCTGGAGTGCTACTTGGACAGGGTACGTGCAGCAAGGGAGATAAAGGTTATGAGGGAAGGAAAGGAGCGACGGGAGAACCTGGCCCTATGGGTTCTAAAGGTAATTATTTTGTTTCCAACTATTTACAAATATTTATTCTTGATTTACAGAAATTTTTCTAATCTCCATGAGCATGGGTCTGAGCTTGCAGTTTGGAGTTTAACAAATCCCTTGCTGCTCTTCATGCTTTGTATTATATTTTTGTTTGTATTAACTTGCTTTCGACTTGTCTGACTGACGTTTTCCAAACTATTATTAATTTTAAACGTTATTGCGGATTTCAGTTTCAGGTCTTTTTCAAATTTTACTAAAATTTAAAAAAAAAATAAAAGAATAAAAGGAATAAAATAAAACAAATTAGCATAGTTGAGATAGAAAATGTCATAAATTACAGCTTCTTCAGCAAACTGAGAAAAAATATTTTCACTTGAACGTTTTAAAATTTAGGTGATCAAGGAGAAGCTGGACCAAAAGGTAATCAAGGATATCCAGGTATATCCGGAATAAAAGGCAAAGATGGTCCGCCTGGTATCTCCGGGGGCATGGCTATAGGTCCCAAAGGACCCAAGGGAGAACCTGGATTACCTGGATCAAAAGGAGTTAGAGGTATGTAACAATTCTATTATCGTTACGCTGCACTTTTGTTTTGATAAGTATGTAAATGTAAAACATGTTTCTAGCAGCCTGCGAAACACGTACCTTCTGATTTTCAATTTCAGTTTCTGGGTAGCATATGTATGATTTAGCAAGAGGGCATTTATTAATTTGAAACAGCGTTCTTCTTCAAAATTATCTTCCTTTTTTTTATTTATTTGAACGAAGCACCGACATTTACTCCTCGTCGAACTTGTAATAAAAACGAAAAATTATGATTTGGAGAAACGAAATTTAATATCTCTAAAAAGAGTTTGAACTCAATTCAAAGACAAAATGTTAGGCGGATTCATAACAGGGCAAAAGTGTCTATTCCAATCAGCAATCTACTTATGGATGAATGTATTTGTATTTTTCGATATTTTTATGCTGTCATTCTCTCTTGTCCTATCCAAACTATGTTCATATTATGTGCACATTCGAGCACGATCACTGGCCGATCTTAAGCTACCTATGTATTTTATTTGCTTATCACTTCAATTTGTGATCGGTTTTCTGCATAAAACGCTTTTTTTTCTGTGCAAATCTGAATTTTACTGATTTTTAACAAATTACTGCTCACAACGGTGGCCTGCCTAGATCCCGCCACTGAACTGAGTACGGTCATGCTCTTATTGCTCATTTTTATACGGGTTCTCTCACAAAATCAAAATTATTTATGATCACTGTTCATATATATATGCATATATCTGTCTATAAAATAGATGTCAATGTTTGTGCTCATATGTCACCTTGTAAACTGTTCATGCTTTTCAACAATATTAAAATATTATGACATCCGAAAGTTTTTAACATGTTTACATCACCTGCCAACTTATACAAACATGTTTATAAATTTCGGCAACAATCTTTCTTTTAAACATAATTCATTGAAAACAATATCGTTATTAACGTTATTAAGTTTTTTTATTTTAACTTGTATATATAAACATGCATATAAAACATGTATATTTAACTGTATGTGTATATAATTAATTATATATTATATAAATGTATATTTAACTATTTGTATATAAAACATTTTATTTTAAACATGTATATAGATACTGTTTAGATAAATAGGAGACCATTGTGATTATTAGAGGTTTGAATTGTTACCTTGAAGAACCTAATTAATGTTGGATAATTTAAAAGTTGGCCCATTTCTTATTCCTAAGGAGAAGGATTTTTTCAGAATAACTTTTTCATGGTTGAATGTTTTTGGTATATCCATATTCCTTCAGTTTCAGCAGCCACCGACCGTAGTATCCAAAGCTTTTTCCGTAATTAACATGAGTAGTCTACACCAGTCATTATTTTATTTAAACTTTTGAGAAGTGTTGTACGTTAGATCGCGAAGGTTGTAGAAACACAAATTAATTTTCGTAAAACATATTATTCTTTAAAATATATTGTATTATATAATTGTTAATAACGAATTGCTATATGGTACACAGTCTCGGTGTTAGAAATAAGTTAGCTAAAAGGGAAATATTTTTAGAATTTTGTTCTGACAAAATTTTAACTCTGATGAAAACAATGTTTAGCTAATATTTTCGAAATAAGAAACTAGAAATTAGATAGATTACAGTGAATGTCCGATGAAAAACGTCAGTTGTAAAATGTATTACAAAACGTCGCTGATTAGTGGTGATTATCAACTGATTTATACTATTTCAAAACTGAAATTAAAAGTCAAAGAAAACTTAGAAACACATCTTCAAGTATAACAAAGTAAGATTATGCTTGAACAAAACATTAATGTCGTCAATAAGTTGTTGGTTTTTAAGGATGAACGAACACCCTGAAAATGAACATGAACATTTAACAGTAGAAATGTAAAAAGGTTTTAGAGGACGATGATCATCAACTTAAGGCATAGATAAAATTCTTTTTTTTTTATTTTCAGGTCCTACTGGAATGAAGGGTGATCCTGGTTATCCAGGTAAATCTGGAAATCCAGGATTTCCAGGGTTAAAAGGTAAAAGTGGACCTCCAGGATTACAAGGACAAGTTGGGTCTCCCGGAAGACCTGGGGCTAAAGGGATGCCTGGAATTGATGCTTCTGTTGTTTATTCAGGTTTCATTTTAATGTTTTGAAAAAATTGTCTTCGTTCCAAAAACTTTAAAAATAAATTTCAATATGTTATTTTTATACTTAACAGGTGATAAAGGAGACCCAGGTTTACCAGGAACAAAAGGTATGATGGGGTCACCCGGTTCACCTGGTCTTCCTGGATTAAATGGATTGAAAGGAAGCATGGGTGAAATTGGGTTTCCTGGTTTACCTGGAATACAAGGACCAGACGGTTTGATTTGGCTTCGTTGTTGCGTTCATCTCTTTATGCAGATAATTTAATATTTGTTTTCTCGATAAGAATATTGTTTTCATTAATTTTCAAATTTACGAAACGTTTCAACCGATATAGAATATTTAACAGGACCGCCTGGTGATGATGGCATCCCTGGAGGATATGGAATGAAAGGAGAAAGAGGATATCCTGGTTTTATGGGTCAAAAAGGAAACCCAGGCATTCCTGGGCTTCAAGGTCCAGTAGGCGAACCAGGAGAACCAGGTTAAAAATTTTTAAATTTTCAGTTGATATTTACACGGACTTTTGCAAAACTCTTATTCTTATAGGGTATTTTGGACAGAAAGGGGAGAAAGGAATAGCTGGAGTGCCAGGAAGAGGTTTGCCTGGTCTGAAAGGACTTCCTGGTGCAGTTGGAAAAAAAGGAGCGAAAGGGCCCGCTGGTACTCCAGGACCTCCCGGGGTAGATGGCAGACCAGGACAACGTGGAATAGTTGGTGATAAGGTATGAACAATTATGTCTGTATAATGTTTCATGTGTCTTTTCGTATTTTTCTTGTCCCTTTGTGTGCTTGTGCGGGTGTGCATATATTTTTTGCAAAGAGTAATGGTTTGAAAAAACCGGTTGTTTTAAACTGTATTATTTACTAAATGTGACGTCAATTAAAAATATGTTTGATGACAAATTTAAGAATTTTTATAAGATATTTTTCGTGTTTGCTGTCTTGATTCAATATTTTGCAAGCCGTATCTGATGATGCTACTCTTGAATGATCGATTGACCATGCCATTTACCTTTTTTATTTTTTTTCTATTTTTGTTTTTCACAGTCTGACTTTTATGCGTTAATAATAATTGGAAAATATTTTTTACTATATATAAATTCCAATCACGGTCTCTGTCAGCACAATCTTTACATTTACTTTAATTATATTTTGATTTAGTTACATGTCAGTTGAAATTTGAGAGCCACTTTTCGAATGAACATTTTTACAATTTGTTAATGTAGTTAACTGCTTTAAATGTTTTTCGGTTTTGAAATCATTTACTGCACAACCGTTTTACCAAAACAGCAGAAGGTGAAACATGACTATTTTTTATTTTTAGGTCATTTCACTGAACAAATTTTTGTACGAATTATATTTTCAATGAAAGTATAGCTATTTATTGGCATTTTATGTTTTTTTTTTGTGAAATTGTAATTTGTTGTTGTCAGGGTGAATTTGGCAATCCTGGATTCAGTGGTCAACCTGGATTTCCTGGAATGAAGGGAGTTAAAGGTATTGAATTTTTTTTTGCATTTGAGTCCACTGCAGTAAAAAGACATTTAGTTTCAGCTTCATTTGTGTTAATTTTATTTTACAATCCATTTCTTATAATGTTATTTTGCTCATTGATTTATTAATTGACGTACTAATTTTTTTAAACACTTAAAGAATCTCTCAACACAAAATAAGAAATTATGATATGAAAATCAATAATAATAATCGTTATTACTACAGCATAAATTTATTTTCATTTGTTAAATTAGGTATGACTGGAGATGTTGGATTTCCTGGAGTTCCAGGGAAGAAAGGTATTCCCGGTCCATCATCGGGAAGAGGCATCGATGGACCGAAAGGTATTCAGGGACCTCAGGGACCTCAAGGTGATCCCGGTTTCCCTGGTGATCCTGGTCAAGTGGGAATTCCCGGAGTCAAAGGATCGATTGGTAGAGTAAAAATTATTTTCACCATTTATCAACTAAACTATCATCAAATCCATAAAGTAACTTATATAAGTATAAATATTAAAAAAATAATAATTATATTATTTATATTATAATATTAAAATTAATATATATATATATATATATATATATATATGTAAATATTAATACATATATATATACATACATATATGTTTATATTATATATAAACCCTAACCCTCATCTAACCTACTGCATCACACTATGGGTAATTAGTCCAAAAAGTTATCTGAGTTAATTAACTCTTCCAAAAAAGATCAATACGTTTAACTTTTAACCTCAAACCTTATTTTCATACCAAACCTTTCTTTCTAGCAAACCAAATTTTACCACTTAATTTTATCTACCTGTAATATCCCTCCTTATTTGTTTTCAAATCAATTACCAATCTTCTCCTACCTCATTTTATCAACTTCTACACACTAAGCAATTAATCCAATCTACAACCACTAAACACACCCCTCTCTTTTATATCTACAAAACCCGCCTCAAACTAATTCAGACGAGCATAGAAATAGCTGGTCCTCAAATTTGGAAAGAACTTGTACCTGCTCGTTTAAGAGCCATTAAAAACATTTCAAGTTAAATTTCAGCGCTTTTTTATTGACACTGGATCCCGACTCCACCACCTAGTGCTATATTAATGAATACGTGAGAACAAATGAAGCGGATGAATGGTTTTTAGCATTTATATGTTTATATATATACTGAACGAACATTTATATATTTATGTGTTTATATATGTATAATATATGTTTATTTATCTTCAATTATCTTTTTGCCTAAATTATTTTTGTTATTTCTTTCATTAACTATTCATCTATCTACCTGCGGTGGCCACCACAAGAAATGTAGTCTTCCTCAGTCTCCGCATATTCAACTTCATAATTTTTATTCACTTATTTGATATGTTGTTGATTATGAATAAATTTTGAAAATGAAATGGAATATTAAGGTTGGGTTGAGACTATCACATCGACAAATGTTAATATACAGCATAGCGTTCCCTACATTGTTTAGTTTAAAACGAAGCTTATTAATTTTTCTAAAAACGAATCAATAATTGCATATATATATATATATATATATATATATATATATATATATATATATATAATTGTTAATGAATATAACTGTGTTTCCTACATTTTAGAAAGCTTGATGTTTGATGTGAATAATATTATAATATTTGGTGTAACAAAATTTTAGGCCCACCCGGCCTACCTGGTATGAACGGAGCTCCAGGTCGACAAGGAGAATTTGGATCAAAAGGGGCTAAAGGTTCCAGAGGGAACAATGGCGCTCCTGGTCTTTCTGGTCCTCCTGGCCAACTCGGTTCGCCCGGTCCTCTAGGAAATCCTGGAAAACCTGGCATGCCCGGTTTGAAAGGTGTTACGAAAATGATTTTATTCATTTATTCGCTCATGAATTTTAGTCATCATATTTTGTCAATTCTCAACTAACATTAAAAAAAATTGAAATTAAAAATAGGAACAAAAGGATTTCCTGGGTTACCAGGAGATCAAGGTTTGAGTTTCAAAGGTGTCAAAGGTGCTTCTGGAAAGATCGGAATCCCTGGAAGGAATGGACTGCCTGGCGACAAAGGAAACACTGGTAGATCATATATGTCTGTTTTCATTTGGAATTATTTTACAATTTTTTTTAAATTTCAGGTTTACCCGGTATTAATGGATTGCCTGGAGAACCTGGCAACCCAGGATTTGGTGGCAGGCCTGGAGATAAAGGAGATAAAGGAAACCGAGGAGACCCTGGTGTTAAAGGTTTTGTTTTATTTAATTGAGCCAAGTTGCTTAACTTTGTCTTCTACTCAATCATCATCGTCTTTTTTTAATAGCACTAGTCATAAAAACTAGTCCTTATTTAGAACCTGTCAAAACTTTTTCCTATAACATTAGCCCGTTCACTTTCGTCTATCTTTGTTTTGAACATCTTCTCCAACGTGTAAAAAGCTGTTTTTTCACGTCCTATTTAAAACGTTTCTCATTTCTCATATTCAGCTTAAAAAGTTTCAATGCAACTCTATATTTTAACGAAGGCTTGTTTTGAAAAATAACTATCATTTACAAAATTTTATTTCTATTCTTATCTTATTTCTTGTTATTCTATACTCCATTTTTTATTATCCCTCTATACATTAATACATATACACTTCTCCTTACCACCGTAACCTATCTTCAGTGAAATTGATGGTATAATTTTATGACAAACTTGAGGAACAATTTTTCACCGTTGGGTGTTTATCATAGAGTTAATTTTTCTTATTAAGTTTCTGTCTTGATACTGTAATAGTTATGTCTTTTTAATAAATTGCAGGCGATCGAGGACTTCCTGGATTGCACGGTTCTAATGGATTTCCAGGACAGAAAGGAGTGAAAGGTCAGGCTGGTTTACCTGGGCAGCCTGGAAACATTGGATTATCTGGTAGACCTGGTCCTGATGGATTGTTTGGTTAGTTTTCTCTATTTCTTATCGCCAATGTCAAAAAATCACTAACTTAATTTTTTTTAACGTTTGCTACTTATTATTGAGTTTATTTAAATAGTTGCCATGTCCCAATGATGTTATATTATTCTAATTTATACTTGAATCTATAATTTTTTCTTTGCTCTGAAATTCAAATGTAACTATTATTCAATGAATGATAATAAAGTTTACTAATGAGATGTTTGTTTTTTGTGTCAGGCTTGTAATTTAAAGTTTTATTGAAGTCATATTGAGAATTGATCAAAACGTTCAATTCTTATAATTTCCAGGCTTAAAAGGACCAAAGGGTGCACCAGGAAATCCTGGCCTCACGGGCAAAACAGGTCCACCGGGTTTAAAGGGAGATCCAGGGTTTGGGGGACTAAAAGGATATGCTGGTCCTTTTGGTTCGTAAATACTTTTGCTTTTGCCTGTCTTTACACATCTTCTCTAATCTGATGTATTGAAAGTTGTTTTTAGGTTTGTCACTAGGTTCACTCTCAAATTTTTGTAATGGAGATCTCGCTAATTAAAAATGTTACTGATATTTATAATAATACCAAAAAAAACAAGAAATGCTTAAACCAATAATTTACCTACTTCAAAGCTTGAAAATAATATAAATAAGTTTTCATTGGAAGGTTCGTACATGTTGTCACATTCATCCTCATTCGGTAATAGATTCATGCATGTCACATTATATCTGTCAGGTGAGGTTGGAGATCAGGGTACAAAGGGTGAACCAGGAAGAGTTATTTATCGAGACGTACCAAGGGAAGCACCAAAAGGAGATCGTGGAAATGACGGCCTACCCGGCCAACAAGGCTACAAAGGGGTGACTGGTCAACCTGGTTTTCCTGGATCACAGGGTTTTTGAAAATTTCACATTTAAATATTTCAATTTAAAATATGCATTCCGCTATATGTATTATTTGTTCTATAATCTCACGTTAATCCTTCATTGTTAATATATTTATATATTTTAAAAACTGGTTGCTATAGCGACTGCCTTTTAGAGTTTTTATTTTCAAAAAATGTTAAACAGACCATTACATTTTTTTCTTTAACAAATTTTTTGTCGTTGATTATTTTGATTAAGTAAAAAAATCTGTTTTAATTTGCTTTCAATTTTCTGTTCAATTAATTCAATTTTGTTTTATTGTTTGCTCTTAGGAAATCATAACATTTCCACCACAAGTTAAATTTTCACAGTAATTATGTGTGGTTGACTAGCAAGATTAAATTGTGATGCTGGTTTAGAAAATTAAACAATGACAAGATTTAAATTGAACTTTTAAAAATAAATTGTAAAAGACAATAGGAATTTACAGTAGTGAACTGTAGAACGCGAGATTTAAATTTTAAATTTATTGACATTTCTGTTACATTTATAGTAAGAATTTGTGTGTATGTATTTATTTGACATTTCTGCTACATTTACAGTTGGAATTCTTAGTTAAGGGTGGCCTATCCACAAGTTTATCTTTTTTTGGTTATCCTTTAAATAAATAAATAAAGTAAATAAACGAACAGGTCCGAAGGGAAAGCCAGGCCCGTATGGAATGAAAGGTGCACCAGGTCCTGCAGGAATCACCGGTCCACCAGGTACACCTGGAGCACCTGGTGATGCTGGATATAAGGGCCCTGATGGTCAGTTCACTTTTTAGTTTCTTTCCTACTTATCATTTTTCAAAGTTAATCTTGCAATATATTTAGATAGCCCATATCAAATTGCTCTTCTCTTAATCATTGTTGAATGAAACTTTACGCGAGTTTTTGGCTGAACTGAATGTATGAATGAGTGTAATTCTAGCCGGTGGCTGAAATTGCTTGAAAAGTTTTTATTTCTTTCATCTGGGCTTAGCTGAACATTATTCTGTTACGAAGTTATCATGAAATTATATTTGAGAAACGTTGATGAATAACAATGATATGCTTTGATTCAAATTAAGTAATTGTTGAACGTTAGTTTAAAAAGTAATAAAGTTAGCATTGGAATGATGATTACAATTACAGGATTGCCAGGTAAGGCAGGGAGTCCAGGTCTCAATGGACAACCGGGCTTCGTAGCAGCACTCGGTAACACCATTGTAAGACACTCTCAAACTGAAGGCGATCCGTCATGTCCTTTTGGATTAACGACGTTATGGAAGGGTTACAGTTTGCTGCATCTTGAAGGACACGAAGATGCCTCGTTTCAGGACCTCGGTCAGTAATTCTGAAAATGATGAATGATGTCCATGTTGCTTTCTGGAGATGATGTACAGTACGTGATTTGATTGCGCCGATGAACAGGCAAGCCTGGCTCTTGCATGCGGCAGTTCAACGTCATGCCATTCCTGCATTGTGACGCAACATCTTGTGAGTACACTGGCAAAGGAGAAAAATCGTTTTGGTTGACTACAGCCACCAACTACACTATCCACCCTGTCGAAAGAAATGAAATTCAAAGATTGATCAGTTGGTTCCTTTGTATCCATTCATTGGCTCTCTATTTATATTTATCGGTATTTTTAGTTCAACAACTGCTTAACTTTGATTTAAATTATTCAAATCAATTATCACTATGAATGATTAAATGTTTAATATATTGGTTGTTAATAAGATTGTTTGTTCATCACGCAAGGTCGGTGTGTGGTGTGCGAGATACCTACCAACGTCTTAACAGTTCATAGCCAAGATATTACAGAACCCAGATGCCCGCTGGGATGGAAAGCTCTGTGGGTTGGCTACAGTTTCTTTATGGTTAGTTCTGCTACGTTGCTACTGTTGCCATTCTCTTTGGAATGAAATGTTGATGATATTTTAAGATAGGTGCATGAAAACTGATAGTTCAATAAATTTGTATAAAAAACACCATTATAGCACATAGTTCATGGTGTCAGCGGCGGAGGACAACAACTCGTCAGTTCGGGGTCGTGCCTCGAAGATTTCAGAGTGCTGCCATTCATAGAATGCGTGGAAGGTACGTCGTCGTTGTTCTTTGCTTATTTGTTTATTTGTTTGTTCGTTCTAGTGTTCCTGTTTCTAGCTCTCGTTCTTGTTATTCTGTTTCGTGTTCAGGTTATTTTGTAGCTTCTAAAGCCCATAGTTGTCATGGTTTTATTGACAATGTATAAATCGTTGTTATCATTAATATCATGTATCATAACCAGCTCTGTTTCAACACAAGTGTCAAACGCTGTTAATAAATTGTTTTAAATAGTTATAAGTATTGCTTGAGTTGAAGATAAAACCTCTTAATCCTAACCTGAACTTGCACTTGCGTATTGCAGCAGCTTCTTCTGTTATGTTTTTATAATTCATCAATCATGTTGCAACGTTTCTCATGAACGAACATACCTGGCAGGCAAGTGTCAGTTCCCGATGAATGATATGAGTTACTGGATGACGACAGTGGACGTCAACAGTCAGTTCCTCACTCCAAATTCTCGAACCCTCAAGGCTGGTAGTCTGCGCAGTGTCATCAGCAGGTGCAGCGTATGCAGCAGAGAGTTTTGAGCTGGCTAGCGATGACAATCATTTTCTGCTAATGAATGATCAAGTGATTGATTGAATGATTGATTTTTGGATGAATGAGTAGAATGGCGTGTGAATGGATGGCTGGGTGGGTGGGTGACTGATTTGTTTTTGATTAAATGTTTAAATCTTTACTGGCTGATTGATTTGTTTTAATTATTTTTGCCAGTTTCATAGGTTGTTAATCATGTCCGTTTATTATTTGATTAATTAATTGTTAATAAACAACTGTCAATAATCATGTCATTAGTTTATTGGGAAATAATTGTCAGAACTTGTGGGTTATTTTGCCCATGAGTTAGCACAAGTCATCTGGAAGTTAACAGTTAACTTTGACATGCCAATGTAATATTTTCCAATTTTCAATGCTTTTATTTCTATTTTTGAAGTTGTATGTAAATGGCTTATAGATGATCAGAAATTATAATTGTTTTTATTTTGTTACTTTAATTCCCGACACTAGAAAATATTTGTTGAGGTATCACATCACATCATTTATGCGAAACTGATCGTTGATCAGGCATTTATAAAATGCTGTTATAACAACCAGTGTGAGTTGATTAATTCACTTTCATGTCAAATAAAACTTTTTTTTAATTCTTTTTCTCTTTTTTTAGTACATAGCCTCCGATTTTTTGAAGGTCTATTTTATGGACTGAATTAACTTAAATGATGTAAGTTATAACGTAGCTATCAAACTACTGCGAATTAAAAAAAATCAAGTCTCCGAGCTGAAGTATAATTTCAATGTGATCTTGCATAAGATTGTTTGAAAATTGACTATTAAAATTAACTAAAAATTAATTAGAAAAAATTGCACATGTAACTTTTGATCGCTATCTCGGCTGTGGGGATTCAAACCATTTGGTCAATCCGTCTTAAGTTTTTTTTTTAATGACTTATTCAGAGCTGGACGTTCGCAAGTTTTGGATACATACGGCGGCAACTGAATTTCACTAAAGGACGTTTAAACAAAAATTTTTATCTGTGTTTTTGCACATTTGGAATTTATTTAATATGTATGTATGCGTGTGTGTGTGTGGGTGTGTCTCACGTCGATGTGTATCCAATATAAATCCAGCTCAATATAAATCACCGCCATGACCACTAAACTGCGAGACGAATCACGATTGAAGGCCTGAGTAAGTAAGTTATTTTGTACAAAAATTGTTTAAATCTGCAATTTAAACTGTATGTGCACTATACACACACGCGCGCGCACACACACATGCAATTACTATTTGGACAGGACTCGCAATTATTAGAGCCTGAAGATTATTTATAATTAAGAAGAAATTGCAGCAAATATTTGCAGCTACTCTGGGACATTCGGTTGAAATTAAATATTAAATCAATTATAATTTTCAATATAGATCCTCGCCTATAATTATATAATAAATACGTGTTTTTATAATTTCTCTCCAATGTTTTTGAACCGCAATATAAAATTAAAGGCTGTAATGTTTATAGTTACCAGGCAAACCACAGATGTAACGTTTTTAGGATATCTAAATTATGAATTGCTAGTCTTCACGATCGAAAAAGTTGGTAAATGATGAAGACTGAAACGTTAAGGCATCGTTTGCATCCATGTAAGAGCGAGTTTCAACTGTGCATTATATAAGGGAAGATGCCATAAGATGGGACACTTAAGAGCTTAACTGAGATTATATGGAAACCATGAATATTTAAAAAATTTGAACAACTATTTTACAAAATATTTTTATTATATTTCAAAATAACAAACGCTGCGCTGTCCACTGTACATAGAACTTTATATAAAAGCAAACCACAGAGTTAGGTAAGTTACTTTCTTTTTCGTATTTTTTATTCAAAAAGTTGTTGTAAATTAAAACTTCCTTTCTTTTTTAAATTTATTACTTAAATTATATACTATCAAGTTTAAAAATATTTCAATCATTAAGTTCAAAAGCCGAAAATTTGTTTGAAGCAAAAGCCAGCCAGCCAACATGTCCCAGTTAGACAAAAGAAGAAATAAAATAATAATATCTAATAATATTAAGAATTAAAAATTGTAAAAATGTTGATCTTTGCGATATTTATCATTTATTTAAAATATAAATTTTATTTAGATTAGAGCATATATTATTTTAGAAAAAACATTATTTGTTGCCCGATATGCGCATTTGATGCAGTATTTTTCTCGATTGATAAGGTTTAGCATTTTAAATTTAGTACGATGTACGGTACGGGCATACGTAAACAACTTCATATATCAAACTGACAAACAAAACTATTGGTAATATTACCACTACTACTACTACTACTACTACTACTAATACTAATACTACTACTAATACTACTACTAACAAACCTCGTCTTACCCATGTTGGAAAAATTTTCTTTGCAGGTATGTTTTAGAATATATTTTTGTAAATGTCTTTGAAACCTTTTTCTTTTCTCGTTCTATAGACAATTAGTGATGTGTTTTTAGTTAACATAACGATTTCATTCTTACTAACTATTTCAATCAACATACATCTGCTTATATTTATTTACTCTTTAATACGTTATTTGCTTGTTCATTCGTTTGCTTGTTCGTTCATTCGTTTTGTATGTGTATGTGTGTGTGTGTGTGTGTGGTGTGTGTGTGTGTGTGTGTGTGTGTGTGTTAATTTGTTTGCCTGTTTAATATAGCATAATTCAAAAAATGTTCACAAGAATTTCTAATCGGAACAAAAAGTTGCATTCCGTTAAAAGTGGCAACAGCTATCAGGTGCCTGAAGTTTCAAGTACCTCGAGTTAGCATAACAATCGTGTTTTGGTGCAAACTTTAAATAAATAAATATAATAAATAAAATAAATAAGTCGTGACGCTTAAATAAATAATTAGCCATTGTAACTCAGTTTCGTTTTGATAATAATTATTGATCAATATTTTCAAAAAAGGATTTTTTCATCAATTTAAATCGTTGGCATCATCTTGTGGATAAAAATCACAGGAATAAATTTGATTAAATACTATCATATTAAAATTCCAATAATTTACGAAATTATAAACAATTTTATTGTAAAAAGAACATTTAGATATAACATGAATGCAATATATCTGAAAAGTTTGCCAACAACAGTGTACTGTACATGTAAGCATACATAAGAGTGTGGTATAGATTGTGGATTTATTTGCATATAAAAATAGAATAACTAGGTTCTCATTGCTCAATCCAATCAAAACAAAGAGGTTTACATTCTGATGAACTTGAGCTTATGCATCGCACACCTATGTATTAGTTAAGTTAAGTAGAACAATAACAATATTGAGTTTGTTTTGTGGTTTGTTCGAGTTTTGTTCTCTAATGAAAAAAATTGCGTTTGTAGACCTGTTGATAAATTGTTCGTTGCTGACAATATTGGATAACTTCAATCATTTTTATGCCCTTGTTTTCTCTGATCAGAGGTACGTTGTGTGTTGTTGTGTGTTGTTGACTTTTAAGAAATATAATAATTGAATTACATTAATTTATATTTTTTCTGAAATCAAACGTGAAAGCTTATTGTAGAATATTTTTCGAATGCAACAAAACTTGTGCATTACTGAGAAAATATGCATAGAAGTGTTTGTAGGAGCAACAACACGCGGTTTGAGTGTACTTAAGATGAACCGTGTACGATGTGCATTCAAACTTGTTATGTACAGTACAAGTTGTTTTGTTTACTGCGATGTGCGTCAGATATTTCATACATGTTTTCAAATGCGAATACTAGCTCTTACAGTTTAGTAATATGAAATATTTGTTTTACTTAACTTCTTTTTAATTCGCAACATAATAACATTATAATATCTAGAAAATTTTCACTTCAGCAAATTCCTAATACCTCATTGTCCACTCAATAAAATCTTTCCTAAAATTCGTTGTATCACGTCAAAACCTTTGAAATATAATATAATTAATTGTAATGTAATAAGGTGCTGATCAAACAATTATTAATTATTGCTTCAAGCCGAAGACACTCTGTTTCATCATCATTAATAATAAATTTTCAACGTTTGTTATGTATTTATTAGATGATGTTTATGTTCAATAGTTATTATGTAGTTTGTGTCTGTTTATAATTTTTCAATCGAAATCATAAAAGATGATTGTTCTTGCCGTATTTGTTCCTTCATAATATTTGGGTTTTGATGGATGTTCTTGTTTTCACACAGGAAAGCACGCTCATCCAATTTGAAGATACGTGCAACATTTAAACGTCGAAGACTGTTTGCGATATTGATTGAGATGATTATTAGTAGATTACTTTTGAAAAATATTGCTGCAGTGATGTTATTGAAAACCTGCAACACCAACTGAGAATGATAAGCAAAAACAATAGCTGAAATCTCAACAACGTATATAAAGAACTCACAAATTATAAAGAGTTTACTTCGAAATCACACCACAACGCAAAAAGCACTAGCAAATAAACTCTAACGACAATATAGTTGAATAGAAGCAACGTTAGAAAGAATGCACTTACTTCACACGTTTGTAGAATAGATGCGTTATTGTTTCGGATGGATAATTGCATCGGTTGTATCCCAAATTTGAAATTGCAATCACTTCTTACGAGTGACTGTCACGATCGCAAACAAAAATATCTATTGCATAATAATGAAACAAACATTGATGTTAAGAACGAAAAAAATAACGAAAGCATCAACAACAACGACGACGATCACCGTGGTAGAAAAAATTTAAGGTCATCAATTTTGAGGAAGTTATTTAGGCAGAAAAACTGTCTCGATGTGGTTGGTTCTTTTTTAATTGCTCTTTGTTTTAAAAGATTCAATGAGGTTTGAATTAATTTGTATATTTCCTTAAAATTGACTTAAATATTTGAATTAACTTGTTTAATTTTTTTTAAATTAATTTAAATAGTTTCAAAAAACATCATTGTTAACCAGAGCCAAAGCGTCTTTCATCCGCCAATATCATAATACTAATAGGATAATATCAATATAAAATCTTCATTTTATCTATCAAATACAAATGAAATGATTATACATAAAACTAAAGATTACAGCGTTTACATGAGTAAATATTCAAATGGAAACTGAATTATGTTTGATATGTCACAAATTAACGTTTAAGATGTTATAATTTTACTACAGTTGCAATCATGCAAACGGTAAGATAAGGTGTTGGTCGTTGATACTCTAACGTTCATACTCCGTCCGCTCTAACGAACATTACAAATTTCTGTTGACGGTTTTTCAACTTTTATCAGTCAGACCGTAGTTATGCCAGTTTAAAAACTTTTCCATCTAATTTTTGATCTAACCCGAAAAATAGACAACAGTATTACCTCAAATTTGAAAACTTTGTTACTTCCATCTATCCGTCAATCATGACAGATTTTAATTTTGCTAGATTATTTAATAATTAACGCTAAAATATTTTAATTATCTGTTAAATAACGGTTAGTCCACCAAACAAACTATGTATGTATGTTTATTCTGCTTTGTTTCTGTTTCTTTATGATGTATAAATGTCTACGAATTCACCTTAATGAATTATAAATTTAGCATTAAAGACTGACTGCATTATCAATAAAATTGAATATAATTAAAGAGACGTCAAATAATTTACTACCAGGA